CTTGAGCTCTAACTCTATTTGAAACCCCTGACCTAATCCCATTTATTCCTCTCCATTGAAACTCTCCCACCCCCTTCAGCTTTGTTTCACTTAAAGCCAGGACATCCAGCTTCTTCTCATTCATAACATCCACAATCATCTCTTTCTTATCATTTGCACACATCCACGCACATTCAGACTTCCCAGGAGTACATAGAGGCTGAAGGACTGAAACCTGAACAAGTGTTCAATTGTGACAAAACAGGCCTCTTTTGGAAGAAAATGCCAAAGAGGACCTTCATTACACAAGAGGAAAAGGCAATGCCAGGACACAAGCCTATGAAAGAGAGGCTGATGCTAATGTTCTGTGCTAATGTTAGTGGGGATTTGAAAGTGAAGCCATTACTAGTGTACCATTCTGAAAATCCCAGAGTGTTCAGGAAAAACAATGTTATGAAGAGTAAATTGTGTGTGTTTTGGAAATCTAATAGTAAGGCATGGGTCACGAGGGAAATTTTCGTCGAGTGGTTCAATGAAGTGTTTGGCCCTAGTGTGAAGGAGTATCTCCTGGAAAAGAAATTGGATCTCATGTGCCTGCTAGTAATGGACAATGCACCTGCTCATCCTCCAAACTTGGATGACCTAATTTTCGAGGAGTTTGGGTTCATGACAGTAAAGTTCTTGCCCCCGAATACCACTCCTCTCCTCCAACCCATGGACCAGCAGGTTATTGCAAACTTTAAAAAACTCTACACAAAAGCAATGTTTCACAGGTGCTTGACTGTGACCACAGACACTCACTTGACCCTAAGGGAATTTTGGAGAGAACACTTCAGCATCCTCCTTTGCATAACCCTTATAGGTATGGCTTTAGGAGGGAGTGACTACCAGGACTTTGAACGCTGCCTGGCGAAAATTGTGGCCAGATTGTGTCAACAAGAGGGATTTTGAAGGATTTGGGACTGACCCTAATGAGCCTATGTCTGTTGTAAAATCAATTGTGGCACTGGGGAGTTCCATGGGGTTGGATGTGAGTTTGGAGGATGTGGAAGAATTGGTGGAAGACCACAATGAAGAGCTCACCACTGAGGAGCTGCAAGAGCTTCAGCAGGAAGAGCAACACATTGCAGCTCAGAATCTTGCTGCAGAGGAGGAGGAAGAGAGATGGAAGAAGGTGCCTTCTTCAGAAATTAAAGAGATTTTTACTATGTGGGGTAAGATGGAAAGCTTTATGGAGAAACATCACCCTAACAAGGTTGTTGCAAGCCAGGTTGGCAACATGTACAGTGACAAAGTCTTGGGCCATTTTAGGGAAGTGTTAAAGAGACGCCAGAAACAGAGCTGTCTCCACAGTTATTTGCGAGACAGGACTCCAGTGACTCTCAAGGTGGTCCTAGTGGCATTAAGAAACAGAGAAGAGAAGCAACCCCAGAAAAGCAAATGGTACCTGAGGTGTTGATGGAAGGGGATTCCCCTTCCATACTATAAACAATCCACTCTCTCCTCCTCCTCCAGTCTCCCATACACTTAAGAAGAATCTCCAATAAAGGTAAGTGTTATGCTGTTAATGTTTCATTCATCATTTCCCATTGTATTGTTTATGTACTACATGTATATTTCATGTAAAAATTTTTTGTTTTAATACTTCTGAGTGTCAGGAACGGATTAATTGTATTTACATTATTTCTTATGGGGAAAATTGATTCGTAAATCGTAAATTTTGTTTATAGTAACGGCTCCAGGAACGGATTAATTACGAGAAACGAGGGACCACTGTATATATGCTGCTTGTAGGCTAGTACACCAAACAGGGATGAGAATGAAATTAGCTTGAAAGCTCCCACACCTCCCTATGTCCTCGGACCAAGCATAACACACCTAGCTTGGCTGGGTGCTTGGTTCTTGCACGATTGGGTGGTCCTGTGGGTTAAGGCATCATGTGGTTCTCGCTCACAATGGCAGGTCAGTACAACATGAGTTCGAATCCTTGGCTAGTGCAGTGTTGTTGTTGATCAATACCACTTATTTGTGGTTACCATAATATATATATATGCTACTCGTAGGCTAGTACATCAAACAGGGATGAGAATGAAATTAGCTTGAAAGCTCCCACACCTCCATATGTCCTTGGACCAAGAGTAACACCTAGGTTGGCTGGGTGCTTGGTTCTTGTAGGATTGGGTGGTCCTGTGGGTTAATGCATCATGTGGTTCTCGCTCACAATGGCGGGACAGTACAACATGCATTCGAATCCTTGGCTGGTGCAGCGCTGTTATTGATCAATACCACTCGTTCGTGGTTACAATAATATAAACAGCATACTGGGAATGGTTTAAAGCAAGAAAGGGAATGGTAGCTCCAATTTTTAAGATCAACAGCCCTCCCCTAGCATTAAGGTACTCTCCTTGAAGGGTTACTCATATATAAAACCTATATAATTTTTGTAGAATTGGGTAGAGGTACACTACAATTACAGTGGACTCTTAGTTATTGGCTGTAATCCGTTCCAGAAGGTCGGCCTAAATCCTAAAAGGCCGAAAACCGAAATAATATTTCCCATAAGAATTAATGTAAATACTATTAAATGCTATTAAAGAAAAGTTGCAAAGGTTAGTGGATGAGTTTGGGAGGGTATGTAAAGGTAGAAAGTTGAAAGTGAACATAGGTAAGAGTAAAGTGATGAGGGTATCAAATGATTTAGATAAAGAAAAATTGGATATCATATTGGCGAGAGGGAGTATGGAAGAAGTGAACGTTTTCAGATATTTGGGAGTTGACGTGTCAGCGGATGGGTTCATGAAGGATGAGATTAACCATAGAACTGATGAAGGAAAAAAAGGCGAGTGGTGCGTTGAGGTATATGTGGAGACAAAAAACATTATCTATGGAGGCAAAGTATGAAAGTATAGTGGTACCAACGCTCTTATATGGGTGTGAAGCTTGGGTTGTAAATGCTGCAGCGATGAGGCGGTTGGAGGCAGTGGAGATGTCCTGTCTAAGAGCAATGTGTGGTGTAAATATTATGCAGAGAATTTGGAGTGTGGAAATTAGGAGAAGGTTTGGAGTTAATAAAAGTATTAGTCAGAGGGCTGAAGAGGGGTTGTTGAGGTGGGTTGGTCATTTAAAGAGAATGGATCAAAGTAGAATGACATGGAGAGCGTATAAATCTGTAGGGGAAGGAAGGTGGGGTAGGGGTCATCCTCGAAAAGGTTGGAGGGAGGAGGTTAAGGGAGGTTTTATGGGCGAGGGGCTTGGACTTCCAGCAAGTGTGCATGAGCGTGTTAGATAGGAGTGAATGGAGATGAATGGTTTTTGGGACCTGATGAGCTGTTGGAGTGTGAGCAGGGTAATATTTTGTGAAGGGATTCAGGGAAACCAGTTAACTGGACTCAAGTCCTGGAAATGGGAAGTACAATGCCTGCACTTTAAAGGAGGGGTTTGGGATATTGGCAGTTTGGAGGGATATGTTATATATCTTTATATATGCTTCTAAACTGTTGTATCTGGGTGCCTCTGCAAAGAGAGTGATTACGTATGAGCGAGGTGAAAGTGTTGAATGATAATGAAAGTATTTTCTTTTTTTGGAATTTTATTTCCTTTTGGGTCACCCTGCTTTGGTGAGAGATGGCCGACTTGTTGAAAAAAAAAAAAAATCTATTAATCCGTTTCAGACACCCAAAAATATAAAAAAAAAAAAAAAAAAAAAAAAAAATTTTAAAGATTAACTATAGTTTTACATACACAAAACAATGAGAACTAAATAAAATGACTAATGAAATGGATAAATGAACATTTAACATCACTTTTACCTTTACTGATAATAACAGAAACCTTTACTGATTAATAGCATAGAAACAGGATATATACTCTAGAATGAATAAAATATGTCATTATGTATGTGGCTAGTGGTGGTGTGGGTGTTGTTGTTGGGTATATAAGGGCCACTAACAGCATAAGCTGTATAGTGGTGGTGGCGGCGGCAGTGGCCACCACCACTAGTCATACTACTAGTCACACTGAAACAATATACGTAATTTATAGATAAGAAATATTGTATAAAAAACATAATAGAGAATGTAGAGAAATAAAGTTTTCATTGTGGAGAATGTAAAGAAATAAAGTGGTTATGGAGGTGCTGGCAGAGGTTTAGGGTGGTGGAAGATACGCAGGGTGGCACATGTTGTCAGTGGCCCTATATACCTCCAACAACATTGGAAGAGTTGTTTGTCATCCTTTTTCTATCGCTTAATCGCTTAACTTACTTGCTACACTGTTAATGCTACACTTTATCACTGGCTGGTACTATAGCTTTTATCGACTCCTGCTGCTTTAGTATCATACATATCGTAGAATCACTGAAGAAGGCACATTCACCCCTTTCTCTCAGTCCTTTACAAAAGGGCTGGCACTAAGAACTTTCTTTGGGCCCATAGTGGCTTATTTTGCAGTTGCGCTCAATCAATAACCACAAAACACAATGGATTATAGTGAAATGTTTAAATGAATGCACAGAGGCTTCCTCACTCACCCAGAGACACAGCCAGATTGACTCACAGGCGGTGAAGCGGCAGGTGGACGTGTCCAATATGGCCAATCTCTGAAATAACGGCCGATAACCGGGATAGAATTTTTGGAGAAAAAAAAAGAAAAAAGAAGAAGAAGAAAAAAAAAAAAAAAAAAAAAAAAAAAGAATTGGTCGATTTCCAGAATGGCTGATAAACGAGGGTCCACTGTATATAAAAATATTAAATTTCCAAATGGTTATAATAAGTATCCATGAAGATCAAATGGTTATAATAATATATAGCCATGAATTTTGCAAATTACGTGGTAAAAGATATTTAAAAATTATTTCTTCCAGTAATGCATGTATACCTTTCAACTTTGAAAGTGCAATAATTTTCAAAACTATTGGCAAATTCAAATGTAAATATGTTGCTTTTCTTATAAATCTCTGCCTAAATGAGGCAACCAGAAGTGATTTACTGGTGAACTATATATGCAAAATATAAATTGACAAAATTGTATATGTTTTTATTAAAACTACAGACATTCTTACAGTGTTTTCTCCCAAGAAAGACATCTGCCAAGTGTTAATGCTAGCAGATAATAAAGAACTGGAATCTAGTTTCTTGGAAAGTAGCTTGAAGCATGGCTATTTGAAACTCCAGTTTTTTTCTGACTTTCTAGCCCTTTACCTCCTCTTCCAGATGACCTTCCTCTGTTTCCTCTTCCTCTTCCTTCAATCATCCCTCCTCTCTTTTCTAACGTTCTAAAAAAAAAAATAAGTGCAATTTTTTTTTTAAATTTTCATCCAAATTACTGAAAAGTTAGAAAATACTCTGAAGAATTGAAAAATAATTATGTTAGCTTTCATGATATAGTATTCTATTATCCTGAAGTAAATTACGTAGTTTGGATTAGAAATATTCTCAGTAGTAATAGAGTAATTATGAATCAGAAATATTCAACATGTTTTGTAATACATTACCTGTATTTCCAAGATTTTTTTGAAGAAAAATTCAAGTTATTGTAAACAGAGGGCAGGTGCAATTATGAATAATAACTGTATCTATGCAAGACAAAAATGGACAATGAAAATTCATAGAAAGAAATGGAGAGAGATGAAAAGTGTGAAAGCACTTTGTCTAAAGTCTGAGACTCTTTTCTACTTAAGAGGGTTTCTAAATGAGGCTGAAATATATTTGTTTGAGAAGGATCTGCATGGACCAGTAAGCCTATTGCAATGCTCCTCCATTTTTATGTTTTTACAGTGTTACAGATCTCCTTTACCCATGTCTCAATTTTCTATCCAGGTGGTTTATCACTTTTTATCAGTCGGTGCTTATGACACTTTAATCGCAGCATAAGTGCAGACACTTAAGATAAACACATGGCCACAATGCTTTATCACTTACTTATCTTTTCTCAGCTCTTTTGGATGTGAGTCAGGGGGAGAGGTATTGCAGTAATTTGCTCGTAGTAGCCCTTGTACTGGAACACTTGCTGGATTAGTGACTTCAAAGTATTTGGGATCCAATCCTTCCAAGCTAAATTAAAAGATAATGCCATTATAAAACTTGTTAAAAAATGAGAAAATTATGATTTAATACTTTCAGTTCACAAGCTACTTACTTTTCTTTGTCAATAGGAGATATATCCTTCTCAGCAGGGGACTTATCAGTAGTGCGAGGGCTGATCTCCTCTGGTATGGGTGGAATGTTGCCGAGGGTACGTACAGAACTCTGACGATTAGTACAGTTACATGTGTTACACAAAGTATGAAGTGGGAAGATAGTTATTATATAGAAAAAGATATTGCTCACTTTATACAGCACAGTACTTGCTCATGTAGCTAAGAAAATTAGCAGTGGGCATATTTCCCTTGGCACATTTATTTTTATATAACATTCTATAAAGGAAAACATTATAATGAATTTATTTATTTTAACTCATCAGCTGTTTCCTGTCAAGGCAGGGTGACCTAAAGCAAACACATTTACACCATTCATTCAGTTTACTGTGTTTCCAGGAAAATGCTGACATCAATCAGATTATCCTCTGACTGCAACATCCCCACCCTTTCCTTTAATCCTTAAACTGTCCAAACGTAGATCTACGTTTGCGCGCGAAGCGCTCCGACCTTGATTTTCTCCATAAGAAAGAATGTAAAAAAAAAATGTAGATCTACGTTTGGAGCGCTACGCGAGCAAACATAGATCTAGTTTGGACAGTTTAAGGGTTAAAGTGCAAGCACTGCCATTTCCACCTTCGGGACTCAAGTGGACTAACTGCTTTCCCGGAATTTATTCACAAAATTTTCCTTACTCATACACCAGCAACACATTAAACACAAAATCACTAGATTGCAGAAAAAGTATGAAATATGGTTTAAAGACCCAAGAATCTAACCAGTACTGAACTGGATTGTCTAATCAATGCACCAGAAAAGAGATAAACATTTAGAAAATTGGCGAAGCTCTTAACACGGAAGAGGGTCATCTAGCTGAGATCTAGTCATTAGTATTACTTCACGGCCAATTATTTGGCAAGATATTCTGATACAAATAACTAAGGTAATCAGGCAAATGTCAAATATTAATGTGCGGCAAGATGTTACATTAACATTGTTTTATGACATCTATGACTATAACATGAATACAGTGATCGTAGTTTTCAAAACTATAAAAATAGATAAGACTAAAATGGTTATAACTATGACTATAATTTTTAAAGGGGTGGACCAGTATGCCAGTGGAAGGCCTTAGTCAGATGACCAAAAGCTCTAACAGTGGGTCACCTGACTAAGATCTGCGTCAGGAAACACTTGTCCTGTTTCCTGATAAACCTTTACCTAACCTACAAAAATAGAAGTTTCTTCACACATTGGTGGATCATATGACGATCCTATTAAGAACAAATTTTCAGAGTAGCCTATGAAAAAAGAAGAGAAGTATCAGACGAGCCAATAACTAACCCAAAAAGACAAATTTCACTTTGAATTCTCTAATGGAAGGTGTATAAAACAATTATATACTGTGATGAAAGACCTAGGTAAATAGTGCCATTGAAGAACAGGTATGGGAGATCATTTGATGTTAACCCATTAGAAAAGGGAGATGAAGCTATATCTTTATAAATGGGAAAGTAAAGTGCCTGCACTCTTGAAGGCTGGGCAGGGATGTTCCAGCTCAGGAAGCATCTGAACTGTGATGTCAGCATCTGTCTGGCAAGACAGTAATGGTATGAATAATAGTGAATGTTTCCCCCCATTTTTTTTTTAAAGTGGGGTCACCCTACCTCAATGTGAGACAAACATTACAGTTACTGGAGATCACTTGTTATTTTACATTACAGTACACCCTCTCCTCATTTAATGATGGAGTTCTGTTCCTAAGACCACGTCGGTAAATGAATTCATCGCTAAGCAAGGAGCATACTATAATAGTAGTGGGTTTGTGTCAACTACCTTTGATATTGTTTTATTGTCACCTTTGCATCATTTATAACATATTAATTATATTTTTAACCCTTTCTGGGTTTCCGATGTACTAGTACGGCTTACACACCAGGGTTTTTGACGTACTAGTACGCATAAATTCTAGCACCCTCAAATCTAGCAAGAGAAAGCTGGTAGGCCTACATATGAAAGAATGGGTCTATGTGGTCAGTGTGCGCAGTCTAAAAAAAATCCTGCAGCACACAGTGCGTAATGAGAAAAAAAAAAAACTGACCATATTTTTGGATTAAAACAGCGACTTTGCACTGTATTTTCGTATGGTATTTATGGTTGTATTCTAGTTTTCTTGGTCTCATTTTATAGACTGGAAGACATATTACAGAAATTGAGATGATTTTGACTAGTTTCATAATAAAAAGTACCTAGAAACTGAGCTCAAAGTAGCAGAAATGTTCGATTTTTACCAAAGTTCAAAAATAAACAAATCATGCCAAGCGTCCAATACACGTCAACTGGTGAGTCTAATATTCTTTCACAAGTGCGCTGATATTATTTATACCTCTACACTAATGCAGTAGTCTGCATAACAGTAAATCTTCTATTTTTTGTGAGAATAAAAATTCAAAGTGGAAAGCAAAAGAAATGTAAGAGGGGCGTGGGGATGTGACTAATGAACAGAAATGTTATTTTAGTGCCAGGAATGTCTTTCTTGTTTATTCTGGACCCTATTTGGAAATTGGCACCTTTTGAAATTTGTGTGAAATTGGCAAAATTGCTAAATTCTGACCACTTTATTGGATAGTTGAAATCAGTAAATGGGTGGTTTCTTGTACTCATTTGAAAGAAAAAATTGAGTTCTAGCGAAATAGTTATGATTTTTATCGACTAGTACATTGGAATTGGCCGAAAATAGGGCTCAAAGTGGGCAAAATCGCCAATGCATAAACATCGTCGCGACCGCTAACTTCGCAAGAGCATAATTCCGTAAAGTTTTCCATCAAATTTCATACTTTTGGTGTCATTATGATCAGGAAAAGATTCTCTGTCTTTTCATAAGAAATAATAATTTTTTTTTTTTAAATTTTGGCGACCCTGAGAACAAGTCTCAGAGAGGGCCTGGCGACCCTCAAAGGGTTAAATGTTTATACAGTAGTGTACTGTATATTGTAATAAAAAGAACAGAGGCAATCAACTCTGATATACATTATTAAGGTAAGCACACTGGTCAGAGAGCCCGTCGTAAGTCCAAGTCATCGGTAAACAAGTACGTCGCTAGGTGAGGAGAGGCTGTATTTTAATAAACAGAATAGAGGAAATCAGCTCTAATATACATTACTCAGGTATGCATGCTGGTCAGAGAGCTGGTTGTACGTCCGAGTGGTCGTTCAACGAGTACGTTGTTAAATGAGGAGAGATGTATACGTACAACAAATTTTCAAGAAAAATGCACAGAATTGATATCCCTTCAATATATTTATGTCTGATATTTCAAATAACTACCCAAATTTATGTGAAGTACTTTGCATTATTCTCATTGTAATTGAAAAAAAAAAAACTATTCATTACAACATATGCTCATGAAATGTATTAAATAATATTCTTCATGCCAGTTTTAATTCAAAATTAATCACATTTAATTTTTGTATTAGCAATATTACCTAAAGATACTTTTCTTGGTTTCATAGACATAGCAAGGTAAGATTGATATACAAGTTCAATTAAAAATAAAGCCTTTAAAGGGACTTAAATTATTCTTGCTGAGGTCCTAACAGTACTAAGGCCATCACTGCCTGACTCAATACTGTTAAATGCAATCTACTAGGCCTGGATTCAAGCATCTACTTTTGTAAACAGAATTACCAGGAGATAATCATGCCAATATATGAGATGTTCCAATTGCCTGTACAGTGGGCCCCCAGATTACAATGCCATTCATTCATCCCGAACGTGTCTGCGCGGCGTGAGCGGCCCGGACATTCCATGTACAGCCAGTGTGCCATTGTTTACAAGCCAGTGAGGACGATTCCACGTGTACATGCGATACATTTTGTATTATTCCATTGATTTTAGTGCTTGTAACTGCTAAATAAGCCACAATGGGCCCAAAGAAAGCTTCTAGTGCCAGCCCTTTGGTAAATAGAGTAAGAAACACTATAGAACTCAAGAAAAAGTTTGTAGAAAGATATGAAAGTGGTGGTGGTAGAAGGTGGTAGTGAGGGTGGTAGTATGGGCCAACAGGTCTGCTGTAGTGTTCCTGCTTTCTTATGTACACCAGTCAGGGTACTTCCCCACACACCAGCCAGGGTACTTCCCCATACACCAGCCAAGGTGCTTCCCCACATACTAGCCAGGGTACTTCCCCACATACCAGCCAGGGTACTTCCCCACACACCAGCCAGGGTACTTCCCCACATACCAGCCAGGGTACTTCCCCACATACCAGCCAGGGTATTTCCCCACATACCAGCCAGGGCACTTCCCTATACACCAGCCAGGGTACTTCCCCACATACCAGACAGGGTATGTTGGGCCTTGCACATAAGTGAATAGATTTTTTTTTTTTTTTTAAGTCGGCCATCTCCCACTGAGGCAGGGTGACCCAAAAAGAAAGAAAATCCCCAAAAAGAAAATACTTTCATCATCATTCAACACTTTCACCTCAATCACACATAATCACTGTTTTTGCAGAGGTGCTCAGAACACAACAGTCTAGAAGCATATACGTATTAAGATACACAACATATCCCTGAAATAACCAAAAAAAAAAAAAAAAGGCACAATACCATGACTGGAACGATACACAAATAACCCGCACATAGAAGAGAGGGGCTTATGACGATGTTTCGGTCCGACTTGGACCATTTACAAAGTCACACTTCAGTGTGACTTTGTAAATGGTCCAAGTCGGACCGAAACGTCGTCGTAAGCTCCTCTCTTCTATGTGCGGGTTATTTGTATATCCCTGAAAATTGGGTTGGGCAAATTCTGTTAGTGGGATGGTTTGTAAAGGACCTGCCTAGTATGGGCCAATAAGCCTGCTGCAGTGTTCCTGCTTTCTTATGTGCAAACATTAATGGATGAACATCACCTTGACACAGCTGTTGCAGGCTGTGCTGGCAACATCTACAATGACAATGTTGTGTCCCATTTTAGGGAAATCTTAATGAGATGCCAGAAACAGAGCTCTCTGGACAGATATTTTGTGCGACTCTGATGCTGGTCCTAGTGGCATTAAAAAGCAAAGAAGGGAAGTAACCCCAGATAAGGACTTGGTACCTGAAGTCCTTATGGAAGAGGATTCCCCCTCCTATCTCATCCCTCACCAATACGTCTCAATAAAGGTAAGTGTCATTTTATTATTTATTTATTTTGCATGTCTCATTGTTTTCTGTGTAGGGAAATGTATATTTCATGTAAAAAAAATTATTTTGTTTAATACTTTTGAGTGTCTGAAACGGATTAATTGGATTTCCATTATTTCTTATGGGGAAAATCAATTCGGATTACGACAGATTTGGTATAAGACACTATCTGGAACAAATTAATGTCGTAATCCGGGGGGCCACTGTATGTAACATTTTTTCCTAGAACATGATATAGCTTGTACAATGTTTTAGCATTAAATGAAGCATCACATTATTCATAAATTCTCATTCTTTGTTTATACATTACCTGCTAATGAGATTACTAACCACAGTAGTATGAGTTTGTCCAGACCACCCACTATTAACTGTGGTAAGGGATCTTAGTGTATTTGACAGAGGTGTGGAATGTGCCACAAGCCCTGGTGATCCTGATGGAAAGCGGGAACCTGGTTGCCTCGTACCATGGCTGGATGGCCCTTGTGAAGTGAGGTATATTTCTGTCAAGGGTGCACGCTTTGCTATTGCTCCTGTTACTTCTACTTCATTAAGTTGCTTGTTGAGCCAAGAGATGACTAACCCATATACAAATAATTAGATTAATAATTCAAATTACCAGTAGAGGCTAATAAAAATATAAATTTTGAAATCTTCAACAGTTAAAAAAAAAAAAAATGGTACAGTGGAACCTCAGTTTTCATCGAATTTGGTTTTTGACGATTTTTCTCGTCAAAATTTTGCCCCAGTTTTCGTTTATCACCTCGGTTTTCGTCTAGTTGACAGTGGTCCATTGTACTGAATGCGTCTGCCCACACAAAGCATCCCACGCATTCTGAGTCAGTCTGGCTTTGTTTTTCGTCGGTAGAGGGTGGTAGTGGTTGTGATTGGTGGCAGAGGGTGGTAGTGGTTGTGATGGTGGCAGAGGGTGGTAGTGATTGTGGTAGAGGGTGGTGGTGGTAGAGGGTGGTAGTGATGGTGGTAGAGGGTGGTAGTGATGGTGGTAGAGGGTGGTAGTGATGGTGGTAGAGGGTGGTAGTGATGGTGGTAGAGGGTGGTAGTGATGGTGGTAGAGGGTGGTAGTGATGGTGATAATGATGGTGGTAGGGGAAGGTAGTGGTTGTGATGGTGGTAGTGATTATGGTAGAGGGTGGTAGTGATGGTGGTAGAGGGTGGCAGTGGTTGTGATGGTGCTGGTGATTGTGGTAGAGGGTGGTAGTGATGATGGAAGAGACAAACCCTCCCTCCTCGCTGTCTTCCATATGCCGACAACAGTTTTCAATACAGGTAAAAGTGATGTTAAATGTTCATTTATCCATTTCATTAGTCCTTTATATTTATTTCTCATTGTTTTCTGTATTTAAAACTATAGTTATTCTCTATAAAATGTATTTTTTGATAACACTTTTGGGTTTCTGGAACTGATTAATTGAATTTACATTATTTCTCATGGGAAATATTGCTTCAGTTTTCTCGAATTCGATTTTCGTCAGATTTTCTAGAATGAATTAATGACAAAAACTGAGGTTCCACTGTATAATAAAAAAGTGACCATATTTTAATACAAAATTACTAACAAAAATTTTCATGATAACATGCTTTATTTATATTTTTTGAGTAATGGTCAGCATAGTCAGCTCACAACTGATAAATCGTGGATTTGAATCCTGAGGATGAAAAGATGTACAAACTGAATGTTGTACCACTAATCTACATAACACTAACACTGATCCCCACTTTGGTCAATATTTTCCACTGTCTTGGAAAATACGGCTTACAGAGGAAGAATTCTGTTCCATTTCCCAATGGAGATAAGAGGAAATAAACAAGAACAAGAACTAGTAAGAAAATAGAAGAAAACCCAGAGGGGTGTGTATATGTATGTTTGTACATGTATGTGTAGTGTGACCTAAGTGTAAGTAGAAGTAGCAAGATGTACCAGAAATCTTGCACGTTTCTTCTTCTTTCAACAAACCGGCTGTATCCCACCAAGGCGGGGTGGCCCGGGAGCAAGGGGCTAGTAACCCTTTCTCCTGTATAAATTACCAAATTTAAAAAGAGAAACTTTCGTTTTTCTCTTTGGGCCACCCTGCCTTCATGGGATACGGCCAGTTTGTTGGAAAAAAAAAAAATGAGGTGGACAAGAGACAATAGCAGTTCCAACACAAAAGAAGCTCCATTTAGAGGTTGGAGGTCCATGCTTTCTACTTCATTTTACATTTTCCCATATATAGTATATATCTGAGTGTTCAGCTAAAACTTTATAAGGCAAAAACATCAGACTGAGAAGTTGTTGTGGGTAAATAATTCTGTACAAATAAAAAATGCAATCACACATGTTTAAGATGCTAGAGAGGGAAACTAGAATTTATCTCCCTATACTGCCATGTTATATGTTATACTGAATTTGGTTATAGAGAAATTGCTATAGTGCAATTTTTCAGAAATACATTAAAAAAAAATTGGAGAGTTGCATTTGTATATACAGTGGTACCTTGACTTACGAGTGCCCCAACTTACGAGTTTTCCAAATCATGAGCCGTCACTTGGTTGATTTTTTTGCCTTGAGTTGCAAGCCAAAATCCAAGTTACGAGCGAGCTTCAGATATGCCGCCACTAGTTGGCGCAGTGAACGCCACAACATCCACCCACCATCCCGCATCTCACTCTTCAGTGCACATGGTTACCTCGCCGTGGAAGCATCTCTCTTGTGTTGTGCTTGCGTTTTGTGCAGTTATTTGGCCAAATTTCTTTTTTCTAACCATGGGTCCTAAGAAAGTAAGTGCAAAGGACAGTGCTGAGAAGAAGAGGAGGATGCTGTCCATTGAATTACAGCACGAGCGAGGTGTGCGTGTAATACGTACTTCTACGATATGTACCATACCAAAGCAGGAGTCGATAAAGGCTATAACGCTAGTCAAGAGCATTAAAGTAATTTCACAGTAATTATGCAAATCAGTGTAAATGCCTCGATTAAGTGACAGAGTTTATGATGAACGAAAGCGACTGAAAAAGCACGAAACGAAATGAACTCCTCCAATCTCCTCTGCCTATCTTTTCCACCCTCCACCAGTATCTTCTGTTAGCCCAAGTCATCAGATCTCCAAGGTAAATACATGTATACAATATTTCTTATTTATAAATACATTTTTCTTATTTAAAAAACCGCAACAGATTAATGGCATTTCAATTAATTTCAATGGGGAAAACTGATTTGATATACGAGCAAACTGAGTTGCGAGCTCAGTCACAGAAAGAATTAAACTTGTAAGTCAAGGTACCGCTGTATATTGGTTGCACAATATTAAAATTCTCTCTTTTGTAATACCGTACAACAATTTGTAGAAAAACCTTTATCAAACATTACCATTCTCATTTGTCTGAAGTGTCTTTTCTTGTTCCTGTAATTTTTCTCTTGCATCTTGTAGCTGTTGTTGGAGATTTCCATTGTCCATGGTGAGCTGGGAGACTTTGGTTGTCATCAGCTGCAGTTGTTCACTCAACTGTAATACACTGGAGTCCTTTTCTGCTACAACCTTATCCTGCTCCACAAGGGCTGCTCCTCGAACTTTGCTCTGTTGGAAGGAAAGTAATGAATGCACTTGAATGATGAAAATGATAATTCTGATCATTTTACTGGATAGCATGCTAAAATATACACAAAGAAAAAGAGAAAGCAAATATGCAATAGACAATAATATAGTAATTGAAAAAGGCAAGTGTTAAAAGGAAAAAGAGAACTACCACAAGGTGATTCAAATGTAATTCTCTCATCATTTCATCAACTATTTTCCTTTGTTACCTAAAAAACAAAACAAAACAAAAAATCAAGTGAAAGCTTTCACAACATATCTCACTGACTGTCATGTGTTCTTCTTTGACTCTCTTCTGGAGTTTTTTGATAACATCAAGGCTCTTTTGTAATTCAGCATACAGCAACTGAATAGAATTTTCCCGCTTCAACAATTTTTGTCGTCGCTCCTCCAGACCCTCTTCTAAATTTCCCTATAGAAAAAAAAAAAAAAGTTAGACTATGATACATAGTATGTGAAAAGTGATTTAGAAATTTTGGCGAGGAAAAAACAAATACGAATTAGTTTAACATTATAAACTGCTAACCTTCTGGTGCTGTAGTGTCTCCACCATTTGCTGCACGTGTGCCAGACTTATTTCTCGACTTCGTAACTCTCCTTCAAGATGAGAGACCTTCACCTCTAGTTCTCGTACTGCATATCAGAAACACATGTATTGGTAAAAAATAACTAAAGTAATAAAATGTATATCCACAAACTGATTAAGCAAGAAAAACTTACATTTATGGCCTTGCTTTATAGCCTGAAAATTTTTTTTCCTGGAACTATGATTTCTTTTTTTGTCTTTTTTTTTTTTTGAGCACACCAATAATGTCAAATGAAGTGTTCCTGTTCAATGATTAACCCTTTCAGGGTTTCGGCCGTACTAGTACGGCTTACGCCCCGGGGTTTTTAATGTACTAGTATGTCTAAATTCTAGCGCCATCAAATCTAGTGAGAGAGAGCTGGAATGCCGTCCAGGTAGACGCCAGGTAGGTAGGCCTACATATGAAAGAATGGGTCTATGTGGTCTCATTTTATAGAATGGAAGACATATTACAGAAATTGAGATGATTTTGACTGGTTTTACAATGAAAAGTACCTTGAAATTGAGCTCAAAGTAGCAGAAATGTTCGATTTTTACCAAAGTTCAAAAGTAAACAAATCATGCCAACCGTCCAATACACATCAACTGGTGAGTCTAATATTCTTTCACAAGTGGGCTGATATTATTTATACCATTTCTACACTAATGCAGTAGTCTGCATAACAGTAAATCTTATTTTTTTTGTAAGAATAAAAATTCAAAGTGGAAAGCCAAAGAAATATAAGAGGGGCCTGGGGATGTGACTAACGAACAGAGAACTTGTTATTTTAGTGCCAGGAATGTCTTTCTTGTTTATTCTGGGCCCTATTCGGAAATTGGCATCTTTTGAAATTTATGTGAAATTGGCAAAATTGCTAAATTCTGACCACTTTATTGGATAGTTGAAATCGGTAAATGGGTGGTTTCTTGTACTCATTCGATAGAAAAAATGGAGTTCTAGCGAAATAGTTATGATTTTTGTCGACTAGTACATTGGAATTGGCCGAAAATAGGGCAAAATCACCGATGCATGAACATCATTGAGACCGCTAACTTCGCAAGAGCATAATTCCGTAAGTTTTCCATCAAATTTCATACTTTTGGTGTCATTATGATCGGGAAAAGATTCTTTATCTTTTCACAAGAAAAAATAATTTTTTTTTTTAAATTTGGGGACCCTGAGAACAAGTCTCAGAGAGGGCCTGGGGACCCTGAAATGCTTAATGATGATGGAATGACAAAATAGACAGGCATATGCAAAATACACACAAATTAATATAAGGTTAATAACAGAGCCCCCTAAGGACTACTGATACGGCAGCACTAGGAAAATTTCTGATTTAACCCTTTGAGGATCCAGAGGCCAAATCTCAGTGACAGCCAGGGTACAAGAATTTAAAAAAAAAAAAAAATTATTTTTTCTTTTGAAATGGTAGAGAATCTTTTTCTGAAGGTAATAAAACAAAAAGTATGAAATTTGATGGAAAATTCATGAAATTACGCTCTCGCAAATTTTGATGCATCAGCGATATTTACGCATCGGAGATTTGGCTGACTTTGACTCCCATTTTAGGCCAATTACATTAATCCAGTTGACCAAATTCTAAGTTATTTTGCTAGGATTACTTCTATTTTATTGACTGAACACAAGAAATCACCCAGTCAACTGTTTCAACTACCCAATAAAGCAATTGGAAATTGGTAATTTGGCCAATTTAACACAAAGTTCAAAATATTCCAATTTCAAAATAGGGTCCAGAATAAACAAAGCAGGCATTCCTGGCACTAAAATAACATTTCCATCTTAATTTTTAATTCACATAATGAATTTTTATTCACATCAGAAAAATAGAAGATTTACTGTTATGCAATATTGTAATAATTGTATATAAAAATATCATATTGGTAGTAGGTTGGTAGACAGCAACCACCCAGGGAGGTACTACCGTCCTGCCAAGTGAGTGTAAAATGAAGCCTGTGATTGTTTTACATGATGGTAGGATTGCTGATGTCTTTTGTCTGTCTCATAAATATGCAAGATTACAGGCATGTCTTGCTACTTCTACTTACACTTAGGTCACACTACACATACATGTACACATTTATTTATACACACTCATCTGAGTTTTCTTTGATTTTATCTTAATAGTTCTTGGTCTTATTAATTTTCCTTTTATATCCATGGGGAAGTGGAATAAGAATCTTTCCTCCGTAAGCCATGCGTGTTGTAAAAGTCAACTAAAATGCCGGGAACAATGGGCTAGTAACCCCTTTTCCTGTAAAGATTACTAAAAGAATAAGAAGAAGAAAATTGTCAAAGGGGAAGTCTGAATGTGCGTGGATGTTGTGCAGATGATAAAAAGAGATGATTGTGGATGTTATGAATGAGAAGAAGCTGATGTCCTGGCTTTAAGTGAAACAAAGCTGAAGGGGGTGGGAGAGTTTCAGTGGAGAGGAATAAATGGGATTAGGTCAGGGTTTCAAATAGAGTTAGAGCTAAAGAAGGAGTAGCAATAATGTTGAAGGATAAGCTATGGCAGGAAAAGAGGGACTATAAATGTATTAATTCAAGGATTATGTGGAGTAAAATAAAGATTGGATGTGAAAAGTGGGTTATAATAAGCGTGTATGCACCTGGAGAAGAGAGAAGTGTAGAGGAGAGAGAGAGATTTTGGGAAATGTTGAGTGAATGCGTGGGGAGTTTTGAATCAAGTGTGAGAGTAATGGTGGTTGGGGATTTTAATGCTAAAGTGGGTAAAAATGTTATGGAGGGAGTAGTAGGTAAATTTGGGGTGCCAGGGGTAAATGTAAATGGGAGCCTTTAATTGAGCTATGTGTAGAAAGAAATTTGGTAATAAGTAATACATATTTTATGAAAAAAGAGGATAAATAAATATACAAGGTATGATGTAGCACGTAATGAAAGTAGTTTATTAGATTATGTATTGGTGGATAAAAGGTTGATGGGTAGGCTCCAGGATGTACATGTTTATAGAGGGGCAACTGATATATCGGATCATTATTTAGTTGTAGCTACAGTTAGAGTAAGAGTAGATGGGAAAAGAGGAAGGTGGCAACAACAAGTAAGAGGGAGGTGAAAGTGTATAAACTAAGGGAGGAGGAAGTTCGGGTGAGATATAAGCACTATTGGCAGAAAGGTGGGCTAGTGCAAAGATGAGTAGTGGGGGGGTTGAAGAGGGTTGGAATAGTTTTAAAAAATGCAGTATTAGAATGTGGGGCAGAAGTTTGTGGTTATAGGAGGGTGGGGGCAGGAGGAAAGAGGAGTGATTGTGGAATGATGAAGTAAAGGGTGTGATAAAAGAGAAAAAGGTAGCTTATGAGAGGTTTTTACAAAGCAGAAGTGTTTATAAGAAGAGCAGAGTATATGGAGAGTAAAAGAAAGGTAAAGAGAGTGGTGAGAGAGTGCAAAAGGAGAGCAGATGATAGAGTGGGAGAGGCACTGTCAAGAAATTTTAATGAAAATAAGAAAAAATTTTGGAGTGAGTTAAACAAGTTAAGAAAGCCTAGGGAAAATATGATTTGTCAGTTAAAAACAGAGTAGGGGAGTTAGTAGATGGGGAGATGGAGGTATTGGAAGATGGCGAGAATATTTTGAGGAACTTTTAAATGTTAAGAAGAAACAGAGGCAGTAATTTCATGCACTGGTCAGGAGGTATACCATCTTTTAGGAGTGAAGAAGAGCAAATGTAAGTGTGGGGGAGGTACGTGAGGCATTACGTAAAATGAAAGGGGGTAAAGCAGCTGGAACTGATGGGATCATGACAGAAATGTTAAAAGCAGGGGGGGATATAGTGTTGGAGTGGTTGGTACTTTTTTTAATAAATGTATGAAAGAGGGGAAGGTACCTAGGATTGGCAGAGAGCATGTATAGTCCCTTTATATAAGGGAAAGGGACAAAAGAGACTGTAAAAATTATAGAGAATAAGCTTACTGAGTATACCAGGAAAAGTGTAACGGTAGGGTTATAATTGAAAGAATTAGAGGTAAGACAGAATGTAGGATTGCGGATGACAAGGAGGTTTAGAGTGGGTAGGGGATGTGTAGATCAGGTGTTTACATTGAAGCATATATGTGAACAGTATTTAGATAAAGATAGGGAAGTTTTTATTGCATTTATGGATTTAGAAAAGGCATATGATAGAGTGGATAGAGGAGCAATGTGGCAGATGTTGCAAGTATATGGAATAGGTGGTAAGTTATTAAATGCTGTAAAGAGTTTTTATGAGGATAGTGAGGCTCAGGTTAGGGTGTGTAGAAGAGAGGGAGACTACTTCCCGGTAAAAGTAGGTCTTAGACAGGGATGTGTAATGTCACCATGGTTGTTTAATATATTTATAGATGGGTTGTAAAGAAGTAAATGCTAGGGTGTTTGGGAGAGGGGTGGGATTAAATTATGGGAATCAAATTCAAAATGGGAATTGACACAGTTACTTTTTGCTGATGATACTGTGCTTATGGGAGATTCTAAAGAAAAATTGCAAAGGTTAGTGGATGAGTTTGGGAATGTGTGTAAAGGTAGAAAGTTGAAAGTGAACATAGAAAAGAGTAAGGTGATGAGGGTGTCAATGATTTAAGTAAAGAAAAATTGGATATCAAATTGGGGAGAGGAGTATGGAAGAAGTGAATGTTTTCAGATACTTGGGAGTTGATGTGTCGGCAGATGGATTTATGAAGGATGAGGTTAATCATAGAATTGATGAGGGAAAAAAGGTGAGTGGGTGCGTTGAGGTATATGTGGAGTCAAAAACGTTATCTATGGAGGCAAAGAAGGGAATGTATGAAAGTATAGTAGTACCAACACTCTTATATGGGTGTGAAGCTTGGGTGGTAAATGCAGCAGCGAGGAGACGGTTGGAGGCAGCGGAGATGTCCTGTTTAAGGGCAAATGTGTGGTGTAAATATTATGCAGAAAATTCGGAGTGTGGAAATTAGGAGAAGGTGTGGAGTTAATAAAAGTATTAGTCAGAGGGCAGAAGAGGGTTGTTGAGGTGGTTTGGTCATTTAGAGAGAATGGATCACAGTAGAATGACATGGAAAGCATATAAATCTATAGGGGAAGGAAGGCGGGGTAGGGGTCGTCCTCGAAAGGGTTGGAGAGAGGGGGTAAAGGAAGTTTTGTGGTAAGGGGCTTGGACTTCCAGCAAGCGTGCGTGAGCGTGTTAGATAGAGTGAATGGAGACGAATGGTACTTGGACCTGACGATCTGTTGGAGTGTGAGCAGGGTAATATTTAGTGAAGGGATTCAGGAAACCGGTTATTTTCATATAGTCGGACTTGAGTCCTGGAAATGGGAAGTACAATGCCTGCACTTTAAAGGAGGGGTTTGGGATATTGGCAGTTTGGAGGGATATGTTGTGTATCTTTATATGTTTGTGCTTCAGACTGTTGTATTCTGAGCACCTCTGCAAAAACAGTGATAATGTGCGAGTGTGGTGAAAGTGTTGAATGATGATGAAAGTATTTTCTTTTTGGGGATTTTCTTTCTTTTTTGGGTCACCCTGCCTCGGTGGGAGACGGCCGACTTGTTGAAAAAAAAAAAAAAAAAAAAAAAAAAAAAAAAAAAAAAAATATCACCACATTCATGAACATATATATTAGACCCACCAGCTGACATTTTCTAGACGCATGACATCATTTGTTTACTCTTTAACATCGGCAAAAACTGAACATTTCTGCTACTTTGAGCTCAATTTCAAGCTATTTTCAGTACTAACACCAATCAAAATCATCTCTGTTTCTGTAATATATCTTCCATCCTAACAGATGAGACCAAGAAATTACAAATACAAATGTAAAAAAAAAAAAAAAAAAAAAAAAAAAAAAAAAAAAAAAAAAAAAAAGTGTGTAAATTTGCTGTTTTAATCCAAAATTACAGTTGCTGTTTTTTCTCTCATTATGCACTGTGTGCTGCAGGATTTCTTTTATCTGGTGTACACTTACCACATATATGTATTCTCTCATATCTAGGCCCAAATTTACCGCTCATAACTTATCTGAGTGAGTTGAGCTCACGGCGTAGATCTATGGCTTGGATCCTTGCTTCAAAGCCACAGATCTACGGGACAGACCCTGAGAGGGTTAAGGAGACTTAATTAAACTAGTGAGAAATAGACTGGGACACAAGATGCCTGCATTGGGGAGAAGATATGGAGAACAAAGCTAATAGACACAATGGCAAAGAACATGCTTGCAAAATGTAGTTACGGGTCCAACATGGATGAGGACAGGAGATAAATCATAAAGATTGGTCATTGTATCTAACTAAAGTGAAGCTGACATTCAGAAAGTAAAATATAAGACACCTACAGAAGCATGAAATCATTATATCCTGGAGTTTGATTAAAAACTGAAGATTAAATGTTGAGAAAAGAATTGACAAAAATGGGAGCAAGAGACTAGCATACCAGGAAGGTAAATAGGGAAGAATTTACTAAAAATATACAAAGGGACAATGAACTTAATAAAGGGATGACATAAAATATGATGAGTTTCCTGTCCCACAAGTGCACGAGTCACAGGAAAATTCATCCTATTATGAAAAGTGATAAATAACATAAAAGCAGAGAAATAAATTCTTCTTTCAACAAATTAGTCGTATCCCACTGAAGCAAGGTGTCCCAAAAAGAAAAAAACAATAGTTTCTCTTTAGTAATGTATACAGGAGAAGGGGTTACTAGCCCCATTGTTCCCGGCATGTTAGTCACCTCTTACGACATGCATGGCTTATGGAGGAAGAGTTCTGTTCCATTTCCCCAAGGAGATAAGAGCAAATAAACAAGAACAACTAGTAAAAAATAGAAGAAAAACCAAGAGGGGTGTGTATATACATGCTTGTACATGGAGGGGGGGGTTGGGATATTGGCAGTTTGGAGGGATATGTTGTGTATCTTTATACGTATATACTTCTAAACTGTTGTATTCTGAGTACCTCTGCAAAAACAGTGATTATGTGTGTGAGGTGAAAGTGTTGAATGATGAAAGTATTTTCTTTTTGGGGATTTTCTTTCTTTTTGGGTCACCCTGCCTCGGTGGGAGACGGCTGACTTGTTAACCCTTTCAGGGTCCAGAGGCCAAATTTCAGTGTGCACCAGGGTCCAAGAATTTTCAAAAAATAATTTTATTTTTTCTTATGAAATAGTAGAGAATCTTTTTCTGAAGGTAATAAAACAAAAAGTACAAAATTTGATGGAAAATTGACGAAATTATGCTCTCGCGAAAATTGATGCGTCAGCGATACTTATGCATCAGCAATTTTGCCGACTTTGACTCCCATTTTAGGCCAATTACATTATTCCAGTTGACCAAATTCTTAGCTATTTCACTAGTATTACTTCTATTCTATGGATTGAGCACAAGAAATCGCCAAGTCAACTGTTTCAACTACAAAATAAAGTGACCGGAAATTGGTAATTTGGCCAATTTAATGCAAAGTTCAAAATATCCCAATTTCAAAATAGGGTCCAGAATAAACAATGCAGCATTCCTAGCACTAAACTAACATTTCTTCTGTTCATTAGTTACATTTTCAGGCTTAACAAATGAATTCCACTTAGATTTTTTATTCACATAATGAATTTTTATTTAAACAAAAAAATAGAAGATTTACTGTTATGCAATATTGTAATAATTGTATAAATAATATCACCACATTTGTGAACATATATTAGACCCACCAGCTGGTGTGTATTAGATGTGTGAGGTCATTTGTTTACTCTTGAACATTGGCAAAAAATTTAACATTTCCGCTACTTTGAAGCCATTTTCCGTACTAAAACCGAACAAAATCATCTCTATTTCTGTAATATATCTTCCATTCTATTAAATGCGACCAAGAAATCGCAAATACAACTATAAAAAACATAAGAAAAAACACTGCAAAGTTGCTGTTTTAATCGAAATTATGGTCTTAGTTTTTTCTCTCATTATGCACTGTGTGCTGTAGGATTTGTTTTATGTGGTGCACACATACCACATAGATGCATTCTCTCATATCTAGGCCCAAATTTACCGCTCACATAAAAAAAAAAAAAAAAAAAAAAAAAAACATGTGCAGTGTGACCTAAGTGTGAGTAGAAGTAACAAGACGTACCTGAAATCTTGTATATTCGCAAGACAGAAAAAAAGACACCAGCAATCCTACCATCATGTAAAACGATTACAGGCTTCCGTTTTACACTCATTTGGCAAGACGGTAGTACCTCCCTGGGCAGTTGCTGTCTACCAACCTACTACCTAGGTAGAAACAAATTGTGAATATAAAACGTACAGGAAAAATACCTTAAAACCTAGAGAAAGAAAATTACATAGCAACTGAGACTAAAGGCATCCCAAACTTCTACATAAAACATGAGAAAATTAATTGTAAAGGAACATGTAATCAGATTAAAGACCATGGGGGAAACTCACCAAGGATGATTAATAAAAGATTATTTACAATTAAAAGAAATATTTACTATCAAAACAGATCAGCTACTGGAAATAACAGAGCAGAGCCCTTGCCAAACAATCCTGAGTCACATATATGTGACTGAAGAAGTTAAAAAAAAAAAAAAATAGTATCTGAGGGAACATAATACATGAAAGGCAATGAGACAAGATCAAAAATCTCATCATGGATGCTGAAGAGGGTCTATGCAAGCTACTAACAAGAATGCACAAAACCACAATATTAAAATAAAGAAATATATAAGAGAGACTAAACTACAAAAGTGTTGCTAACATGCAAAATACTACAGGAAAACCTGCCTTGGCAACAAGTAGTTAATGGGATTCAGCCCAGGAAAATAATTGAGATGTGGAAGAACAATGTGAACAGAAGAGCTGTGACTTTGGAGGAATGCTGAATTCTGTACAGAGGCAATAAAAGAGACTAGGCACACAGTATAAAGGATTATTACTACTATACATGTACTTCTCTTTTTTTTTTTTTTTTGACAGGATAATGAAGATGACAAAATGCTAAATACTGTACTAACCTGCAGCATTCTTTGTACAGTTTTCTTGCTCAAGGCGGGTACTGTGTTTTTTGGTATGGGCAAGTTCCTGCCGGCAACGATCTAAATCCCCTTCAGCACAGCTCAGCCGCCCTCTGAGCTCCCTGTACATAATACACATACGTAATTAGTTTTGTTTTAATTACTGTGTTAATTTTTTTTTTTCAACAATTCGGCTGTTTCCCACCGAGGCAGGGTGACCCAAAAAAAGAAAGAAAATCCCCAAAAAGAAAATACTTTCATCATCATTCAACACTTTCACCACACTCTCACATTATCACTGTTTTTGCAGAGGTGCTCAGAATACAGCAGCTTAGAAGCATATACGTACAGTGGACCCCCGCATAACGATGGCATCACATAGCGATTATTTCGCATACCGCTTACTTTAATTGCAAAAATTTTGCCTCACATACCGCTTAAAAACCCCTTACCCCTTTTTTTGTCCAGCGCGCCCAATGTGCGGCCTGAGCCACGCTCCATTTCCGCCGGTGGCATTGTTTACCACCACCCCGCGGGAACATCCAAGCAACAATCGGAATATTTCGTATTATTACAGTGTTTTCGGGCTTTTTCTGGAAAATAATGACCAGGGCCCCAAGAAACTTCTAGGCCAACCCTACAGCAAAAGGGTGAGAATTACAAAGAGTGAAGAAAAAGATCATTGATAAGTATGGAAGTGGAGTGCATGTCTCCGAGCTGGCCAGGTTGTATAATAAACCCCAAACAACCATCGCTACTATTGGTGGGAAGCTGCTCTGCTTTCACTGTCACTGCTGCTGTAGCACCGTTGTTGGTGTGGCTTATTGAAATACCAAGAAACAATTAACCCCAGAGGATTTGCCACCCCGGATAACCCAAAAAGTCGTGTCCGAAGACTGTCAAACTTTTTTCCTTTGGGGGTTTCCTTTAAATCTTGTCTCCCAGGATGCAACCCACAAGTCGAAACACCCAGGTAAAAGGGGAAAAATGCCGGAACTAGTGCTCATATTGGTGATTTAAAGCCAGAAAAGGTTTGGTTTGAGAGTTTTAAGAAGTGTGCCTACACGTGTAAAAGGGCCTTTTTCAGAAGAAAATGCCAAACAGGACCTACAGTACTCGGGAAAAAGGCACCCCAGGACACAGGTCTCACATCATTGGCTCTTCAATAAAAATGAAATTTATTCTTCATTTATAGATATACATCCCAAAAATATATACTGGGGCATGTCTACTCTACTATTGTGCATGTATCCTTCCCTTTTTGTGTGGGGGAAAATGTATATTTATGGGGTAAATTTTTTTTTTTTTCATACTTTTGGGGTTTTGCACATTAATTTGTTTTCCTTATTTCTTTGGGGAAAATTCTTCCAAACGATTATTTCGCATAACAATTACCCTCTTGCAGGATTAAAACGAACCGGGGGCCCCACTGTATAAAGATACCAACATCCCCTCCAAACTGCCAATATCCCCCAAACCCCCTCCTTTAAAGTGCAGACATTGTACTTCCCATTTCCAGGACTCAAGTCCGACTATATGAAAATAACCGGTTTCCCTAAATCCCTTCACTAAATATTACCCTGCTCACCCTCCAACAGATCGTCGGGTCCCAAGTACCATTTGTCTCCATTCACTCCTATCTAACACGCTCACGCACGCTTGCTGGAAGTCCAAGCCCCTTGCCCACAAAACCTCCTTTCCCCCCCTCTCTCCAACCCTTTCGGGGAAACGACCCCTACCCCGCCTTCCTTCCCCTAGAGATTATATGCTTTCCATGTCATTCTACTTGATCCATTCTCTCTAAATGACCAAACCACCTCAACAACCCCTTTTCCCAGCCCTCTGACTAATATTTTTATTAACTTCACACCTTTTCCTAATTTCCACCCCTCCGAATTTTCTGCATAATATTTACGCCCAAATATTGCCCTTAGATAGGACATCCCCCACTGCCCCCCAACCGTCTCCTCGCTGCTGCATTTACCACCCAAGCTTCACATCCATAAAAGAGTGTTGGTACTACTATACTTTCATACATTCCCTTCTTTGCCTCCATAGATAACGTTTTTTGACTCCACATATACCTCAATGCACCACTCACCTTTTTTCCTCATCAATTCTATGATTAACCTCATCCTTCATAAATCCATCCGCCGACACATCAACTCCCAAGTATCTGAAAACATTCACTTCTTCCATACTTCTCCTCCCCAAATTGATATCCAATTTTTTTTTATCTAAATCATTTGATACCCTTATCACCTTACTCTTTTCTATTTCACTTCAACTTTCTACCTTTACACACATTCCCAAACCATCCACTAACCTTTGCAATTTTTCTTAAGAATCTCCCCCTAAGCACAGTATCATCAGCAAAAAGTAACTGTGTCAATTCCCATTTTGAATTTGATTCCCCATAATTTAATCCCACCCCTCTCCCGAACACCCTAGCATTTACTTCTTTTACAACCCCATCTATAAATATATTAAACAACCATGGTGACATTAACATCCCTGTCTAAGACCTACTTTTACCGGGAAGTAGTCTCCCTCTCTTCTACAAAACCCAAACCTGAGCCTCACTATCCTCATAAAAACTCTTTACAGCATTTAGTAACTTACCACCTATTCCATATAACTTGCAACATCTGCCACATTGCTCCTCTATCCACTCTATCATATGCCTTTTCTAAAAACCATAAATGCAATAAAAACTTCCCTACCTTTATCAAATACTGTTCACAAAATATGCTTCAATGTAAACACTTGATCTACACATCCCCTACCCAAATCTGAAAACCCCCTTGCTCCACCGCCATCCTACATTCTGTCTTACCTCTAATTCTTTCAATTATAACCCTACCATACACTTTCCTGGTATACTCAGTAAACTTATTCCTCTATAAAATTTTTTTACAATCTCTTTTGTCCCCTTTCCTTTATAAAAGGGACTATACATGCTCTCCGCCAATCCCTAGGTACCTTCCCCTCTTTCATACATTAAACAAAGTAAAACCCAAACCCCTCCAACACTAAATCCCCCCCCTGCTTTTAACATTTCTGTCATGATCCCATCAGTTCCAGCTGCTTTACCCCCTTTCATTCTACGTAATGCCTCACGTACCTCCCCCACACTTACATTCTGCTCTTCTTCACTCCTAAAAGATAGTATACCTCCCGGGCATGCATGAAATTACCACCTCCCTTTCTTCCTCAACATTTAAAAGTTCCTCAAAATATTCTCGCCATCTACCTAATACCTCCCTCTGCCATCTACTGACTCCCCTACTTTGTTAATCTGCTGTTAAAATTTTATAAGATGAGACATGCTAGCATTTTCCCATAAGAGTTTAAAGGTAACATTTACCCCATTGTAAATATACTATGGGAAAAGACAAGACTGACTGAGTTATCATCTGAATTTACTTGCTTATAATGATATTTAATTTATTTACTCTGTGGAACATGTAAATACAGTGGACCCCCGGTTTACGATATTACGTATTTCATTCCAGAAGTATGTTCAGGTGCCATTACTGAACGAATCTGTTCCCATAAGGAATATTGTGAATTAGATTAGTCCATTTCAGACCCCCAAACATGCACGCACAAACGCACTTACATAAATACACTTACATAATTGGTCGCATTGGGAGCTGATCGTAAATCGGGGGTCCACTGTATATACTTTATGTCTACTAAGTAAATTCAGGCCAAAAAAATTTACATATTCAGTGTACGTGTATATGAAGTTTTAGTTCACTTACTTAACATTGCTTTCGGCTCGTTGCTTCTTTTCTAAGAGCTCATTGTTTTGTGAGGTGAGGGAGACTATTTTAGATTGGAGCTGCTCAATCTGATTATTCTTTCGAGCTTCTAAATCCCGTCGTACACGGTCAGCTTTCCTGTCTGCATCACTCTGTACCTGAGGTAAAACAAAAATAACCATGCAGGTTTCTCCAGGAAATATACTAACCATGGAAATACTTTCCCACAAAGGTGATTATCATCACCTTTATTATTGTTATTATTATTATTAAAACATTTCACCTGCCAGTTATTATATGTTGGCTCAAAACTATAATTAAACTATTATTACTCTATATATTGCATATGAAATTAATTGGACCAGTAGAGATTGTTCAGCATTGCTCAAGGACAGCTAGCTTCCTTATCAATAGGAAATTTCTGATTAGCCAGTACTGACTGAGAAGGTGACATGATACTAGTCTTTTATCCATGACATCCATTAATTATATAACAAAAAGACTAGTTTTTATAAACCTTATAACTGGCAATTTTTTTTTTTCAACAAGTAGGCCGTCTCTCACCGAGGCAGGGTGACCCAAAAAAGAAAGAAAATCCCCAAAAAGAAAATACTTTTATCATCATTCAACACTTTCACCTCACTCACACATAATCACTGTTTTTGCAGAGGTGCTCAGAACACAACAGTTTAGAAGCATATATGTATAAAGATACACAACATATCCCTCTAAACTGCTAATATCCCGAAACCCCTCCTTTAGAGTGCAGGCATTGTACTTCTCATTTCCAGGACTCAAGTCCGGCTACATAAAAATAACCGGTTTCCCTGAATCCCTTCACTAAATATTACCCTGCTCACACTCCAACAGATCGTCAGGTCCCAAATACCATTTGTCTCCATTCACTCCTATCAAACACGCTCATGCACGCCTGCTGGAAGTCCAAGCCCCTCCCCCACAAAACCTCCCTTACCCCTCCCTCCCAACCTTTTCGAGGATGACCCCTACCCCGCCTTCCTTCTCCTACAGATTTAAATGCTCTCCATGTCATTCTACTTTGATCCTTCCTCTCTAAATGACCAAACCACCTCAACAACCCCTCTTCAGCCCTCTTGACTAATACTTTTATTAACTCCACACCTTCTCCTAATTTCCACACTCCGAATTTTCTGCATAATATTTACACCGCACATTGCCCTTAGACAGGACATCTCCACTGCCTCCAACTGCTGCATTCACAACCCAAGCTTCACACCCATATAAGAGTGTTGCTACTACTATACTTTCACACATTTCCTTCTTTGCCTCCATAGATAACGTTTTTTGACTCCATATGTATACCTCAACGCACCACTCACCTTTTTTCCCTCATCAATTCTATGATTAACCTCATCCTTCATAAATCCATTCGCCGACACGTCAACTCCCAAGTATCTGAAAACATTCACTTCTTCCATACTCCTCCTCCCCAATTTGATATCCAATTTTTCTTTATCTAAATCATTTGATACCCTTATCACCTTACTCTTTTCTATGTTCACATTCAACTTTCTACCTTTACACACACTCCCAAACTCATCCAATAACCTTCGCAATTTTTTTTCTTTAGAATCTCTCATAAGCACCGTATCATCAGCAAAAAGTAACTGTGTCAATTCCTATTTTGTATTTGATTCCCCAAAATTTAATCCCACCCCTCTCCCGAACACCCTAGCATTTACTTCTTTTACAACCCCATCTATAAATATATTAAACAACCATGGTGACATTACACATCCCTGTCTAAGACCTACTTTTACCGGGAAGTAGTCTCCTTCTCTTCTACACACCCTAACCTGAGCCTCACTATCCTCATAAAAACTCTTTACAGCATTAAGTAACTTAACACCTATTCCATATACTTGCAACATCTGCCACATTGCTCCCCTATCCACTCTATCATATGCCTTTTCTAAATCCATAAATGCAATAAAAACTTCCCTACCTTTATCTAAATACTGTTTCCATATATGCATCAATGTAAACACTTGATCTACACATCCCCTACCCACTCTAAAACCTCCTTTCTCATCCGCAATCCTACATTCTGTCTTCCCTCTAATTCTTTCGATTATGACCCTACCATACACTTTTCCTAGTATACTCAGTAAACTTATTCCTCTATAATTTTTACTATCTCTTTTGTCCCCCTTCCCTTTATATAAACGGACTATACATGCCAATCCCTAGGTACCTTCCCCTCTTTCATACATTTATTAAACAAAAGTACCAACCACTCCAACACTATATCCCCCCTGCTTTTAAAATTTCTGTCATGATCCCATCAGTTCCAGCTGCTTTACCCCCTTTCATTCTATGTAATACCTCACATACCTGTCCCACACTTACATTCTGCTCTTCTTCACTCCTAAAAGATGGTATACCTCCCTGGCCAGTGCATGAAATTACCGCCTCCCTTTCTTCCTCAACATTTAAAAGTTCGTCAAAATATTCTCGCCATCTACCTAATACCTCCCTCTCCCCATACACTAACTCCCCTACTCTGTTTTTAACTGACAAATCCATATGTTCCCTAGGCTTTCTTAACTTGTTTAACTCCAAAATTTTTTCTTATTTTCATTAAAATTTCTTGACAGTGCCTCTCCCACTCTATCATCTGCTCTCCTTTTGCACTCTCTCACCACTCTCTTCACCTTTCTTTTACTCTCCATATACTCTGCTCTTCTTATAACACTTCTGCTTTGTAAAAATCTCTCATAAGCTAACTTTTTCTCTTTTATCACACCCTTTACTTCATCATTCCACCAATCATTTCTCTTTCCTCCTACCCCCACCCTCCTATAACCACAAACTTGTGCCCCACATTTTAATACTGCATTTTTAAAACTCATCCAACCCTCTTCAACCCCCCCACTACTCATCTTTGCACTAGCCCACCTTTCTGCCAATAGTCGCTTATATCTCACTCGAGCTTCCTCCTCCCTTAGTTTATACACTTTCACTTCCCTCCTACTTGTTGTTGCCACCTTCCTCTTGTCCCATCTACCTCTTACTCTAACTGTAGCTACAACTAACTAATAATCTGATATATCAGTTGACCCTCTATAAACATGAAGATCCTGGAGCCTACCCATTGACCTTTTATCCACCAATACACAATTTAACAAACTACTTTCATTACGTGCTACATCATACCTTGTATATTTATTTATCCTCTTTTTAATAAAATATGTATTACTTATTACCAAATCTCTTTCTACACAAAGCTCAATTAAAGGCTCCCCATTTACATTTACCCCTGGCACCCCAAATTTACCTACTACTCCCTCCACAACATTTTTACCCACTTTAGCATTGAAATCCCCAACCACAAGTACTCTCACACTTGGTTCAAAACTCCCCATGCATTCACTCAACATTTCCCAAAATCTCTCTCTCTCCTCTACACTTCTCTCTTCTCCAGATGCTTATACACTTACTATAACCCACTTTTCACATCCAACCTATATTTTACTCCACATAATCCTTGAATTAATACATTTATAGTCCTCTTTCCCTGCCATATCTTATCCTTCAACATTATTGCTACTCCTTCTTTAGCTCTAACTCTATTTGAAACCCCTGGCCTAATCCCATTTATTCCTCTCCACTGAAACTCTCCTACCCCCTTCAGCTTTGTTTCACTTAAAGCCAGGACATCCAGCTTCTTCTCATTCATAACATCCACAATCATCTCTTTCTTATCATCTGCACAACATCCATGCACATTCAGACTTCCCACTTTGACAATTTTCTTCTTCTTATTCTTTTTAGTAATCTTTACAGGAAAAGGGGTTACTAGCCCATTGTTCCTGGCATTTTAGTTAACTTTTACAACACGCATGGCTTACGGAGGAAAGATTCTTATTCCACTTCCCCATGGATATAAAAGGAATAGTAATAAGACCAAGAACTATCAAGATAAAATCAAAGAAAACTCAGATGAGTGTGTATAAACAAACGTGTACATGTACATGTATGTGTAGTGTGACCTAAGTGTAAGTAGAAGTAGCAAGACATACCTGTAATCTTGCATATTTATGAGACAGACAAAAGACACCAGCAATCCTACCATCATGTAAAACAATTACAGGTTTTCGTTTTACACTCACTTGGCAGGACGGTAGTACCTCCCTGGGTGGTTGCTGTCTACCAACCTACTACCTAAAATAATATCTTAAAATAATATCTTACTTAAAACATAGTTAATATACACCTGGTGAACATTCTTCTATTGCACATTCCACTTTTCAAAGGCAAATCAAAATAGAAATTGCACAGAATTTAAAATGCACAATGCATCACTATACAGTCTAAATAAAGTTCTGCTTATGAGGATTGAATACATTCAATGACAAAATTTTTAAGTTATTTTTTAAACAAAAGCAATCAAATACTGCTAATTTTGAAAACAAAGTATATACAGAAATAAAATCTGAGAAATATAAATATCATAAGACTTCTGTTTCCTAGGTAGTAGGTTGGTAGACAGCAACCGCCCAGGGAGGTACTACCGTCCTGCCAAGTGAGTGTAAAACGGAAACCTGTAATTGTTTTACATGATGGTAGGATTGTTGGTGTCCATTTTTCTGTCTCATAAACATGAAAGGTTTCAGGTATGTCTTGCTACTTCTACTTACATTTAGGTCACACTACACATACATGTACAAGCATATACATACACACCCCTCTGGGTTTTCTATTTTTCTTACTAGTTCTTGTTCTTGTTTATTTCCTCTTACCTCCATGGGGAAGTGGAACAGAATTCTTCCTCCGTAAGCCATGCGTGTTGTAAGAGGCGACTAAAATGCTGGGAGCAAGGGGCTAGTAACCCCTTCTCCTGTATATATTATTAAATTTAAAAGGAGAAACTTTCGTTTTTCCTTTTGGGCCACTCCGCCTCTGTGGGATACGGCCGGTTTGTTGAAAGAAAGAAAGACTTCTGTTTACCAAGTCATGATTATAATGGTTAAGAGAATTTGAGAATGAAACTCTGAAAGTTAAGAACTATCTGCATGCAATTCATCTTCCCAAACAATAAAAACCTTTAATAACTTCTCCTTTTCTTGAGCAATTAGTTGTGCTTCTTTCTCAGATGACATAGCTACATGCTGGCTAATCTCTGTCCGCAACTGTTGAGCTTCCTTTGACGTCTTTGCAAGGATTTCTTGCGTATAGCGCAGTTGCTGCTGCAGCTGTTGCTCATTTTCTGCTGCTTCCCTCTCTCTAGCAGCTACCTGACCCTGTTTTAGTATACCACATTATGAGAGAAAAATAAACTTAAAGGCTATAGATAATCTTAAAAATTAAATAGTAAAGATTTTTCTCTGAACATTGAATGAATCTTATGCTAATTTATATTACTTAATTATTATTATATGGCAGGGACATACTAAATATGTTTTTATTTTTTATTATCACACTGGCCGATTCCCACCAAGGCAGGGTGGCCCGAAAAAGAAAAACTTTCACCATCATTCACTCCATCACTGTCTTGCCAGAAGGGTGCTTTACACTACAGTTTTTAAACTGCAACATTAACACCCGTCCTTCAGAGTGCAGGCACTGTACTTCCCATCTCCAGGACTCAAGTCCGGCCTGCCGGTTTCCCTGAATCCCTTCATAAATGTTACTTTGCTCACACTCCAACAGCACGTCAAGTATTAAAAACCATTTGTCTCCATTCACTCCTATCAAACACGCTCACGCATGCCTGCTGGAAGTCCAAGCCCCTCGCACACAAAACCTCCTTTACCCCCTCCCTCCAACCCTTCCTAGGCCGACCCCTACCCCGCCTTCCTTCCACTACAGACTGATACACTCTTGAAGTTATTCTGTTTCGCTCCATTCTTTCTACATGTCCGAACCACCTCAACAACCCTTCCTCAGCCCTCTGGACAACAGTTTTGGTAATCCCGCACCTCCTCCTAACTTCCAAACTACGAATTCTCTGCATTATATTCACACCACACATGCCCTCAGACATGACATCTCCACTGCCTCCAGCCTTCTCCTCGCTGCAACATTCATCACCCATGCTTCACACCCATATAAGAGCGTTGGTAAAACTATACTCTCATACATTCCCCTCTTTGCCTCCAAGGACAAAGTTCTCTGTCTCCACAGACTCCTAAGTGCACCACTCACTCTTTTTCCCTCATCAATTCTATGATTCACCTCATCTTTCATAGACCCATCCGCTGACACGTCCACTCCCAAATATCTGAATACGTTCACCTCCTCCATACTCTCTCCCTCCATGTAAGGGTCATAATGTGCCTCAGGGAATAGGAGGGGATCAAGTTAGATCCAAGAAAAAGAAGGACATAACCAATTCCTTGCATCAAGAGCCCCTCACTGGCATCAAGTAACCCCTCTTCCCTGCTAGAGAGGTACATTACTTTATTATGTATAGATTGATAATATATTTTTTATATAATTAAACCTGATGCACCGTTTGTGCTCTACTTAATTTGAAATAAAATAATGATGATTCAGATACAAATTGTAGCTGAATGAACATGGATAATAACATACAGAAGCAAAATTCACTGGAGAAGCATGAAAGTACAAAAGTAATAAGATATAATGTTTTCTTAACCCTTAAATGGTCCAAACGTATATATACGTTTTTTCAATATTTGAAAGTATGTAAAAAAATGTAGATCTTCTTTCTAGTTTTACATTTAAAAATGTGTAAAAAAAACTTTTATCTACTTTTTTTTTTTTATTTTTGAAAATATGTAAAAAAAAAAGCAGATCTACTTTTGGAGCACTACGGATTTGAACGTCGATCTGTTTGGACCGTTTAAGGGTTAAAATGCTGGCCATATCCCACTGAGGCAGGGTGACCCCCCAAAAAAAAGAAACACTTTCACCATCATTCAAATATTCTGAAATTAAAAGCAATATATCACAGCAGTGTGAATTTAGAGAATATTCACAAGAACAACAATTTCTATGATTTGCCTGAAAGTTATGACATCACACAGAGAAAGTTCTTGAAAGTAATTACCTTTCCTCCCACAATCATTTTTACTTCATTTGAGATTTTAACCCTTTCAGGGTCGACAAGCCCTCTCAAGAGACTTGTTCTCAGGGTCCCCCAAATTTCAAAAAAATTCTTATGAAAAGATAGAGAATCTTTTCCCGATCATAATGACACCAAAAGTATGAAATTTGATGGAAAACTTATGGAATTATGCTCTCGCGAACTTAGCGGTCTCAACGATATTTACGCAATGGCGATTTTGCCCACTTTGAGACCTATTTTCGACCAATTCCAGTGTACTTGTCGACAAAAATCATAACTATTTCGCCAGAACTCCATTTTTTCTATCGAATGAGTACAAGAAACTACCCATTTACCGATTTCAACTATCCAATACAGTGGTCAGAATTTAGCAATTTTGCCAATTTCACACAAATTTCAAAAGATGCCAATTTCCGGATAGGGTCCAGAATAAACAAGAAAGACATTCCTGGCACTAAAATAACATTTCCTCTGTTTATTAGCCACGTCCCCATGCCCCTCTCACATTCTTTTGCTTTCCACTTTGAATTTTTATTCTCACAAAAAAATAGAAGAATTACTGTTATGCAGACTACTGCATTGGTGTAGAAATGGTATTAATATTATCAGCGCACTTGTGAAAGAATATTAGACTCACCAGTTGACGTGTATTGGACGCATAGCATGATTTGTTTACTTTTGAACTTTGGTAAAAATCGAACATTTCTGCTACTTTGAGCGCAATTTCAAGGTAGTTTTCTTTGTAAAACCAGTCAAAATCATCTCAATTTATGTAATATGTCTTCCATTCTATAAAATGAGACCAGGAAAACTAGAATGCAACAATAAATACCATACAAAAATATGTACAGTGCAAAGTCGCTGTTTTAATCCAAAAACACGGTCAGTTTTTTTTTTTCTCATTATGCACTGTGCTGCAGGATTTTTTTTATACCACACACACTGACCACATAGACCCATTCTTTCACTAGATTTGAGGGCGCTAGAATTTAGGGGTACTAGTACGTCAAAATCCCTGGTGCGTAAGCCGTACTAGTACGGCCGAAACCCTGAAAGGGTTAAAGTACTTAATGGTTTATTTATAGAAGGTCTCTGACTTTTGACATTTTGCACTTATGATATTAGACCTATGGAACCAACTGAATTACTTATGAGCTCTCAGCTATAACTTCAATCATTGCAGATATTCAAATAAAATGATTTTAAAAATGTCAAGAGTGGGAGTAAAGAGGAGGAGGAGGAGAGGAGGCAGTCTAGCTCGTGCCTGTCCATCCCTACACATTACTCCAATACTCCTATATCACATACTTAACTACTGCAGTGAGGAAGGAGTGAGCATATGTAATGAGTATTGTGTTAGATATGATGCAAGAGAGGGTGGGAGTAAAAAGGAGTGAGAATGAGAGGGGACAGTCCACATAAACATCTGTACTGTATTGTATACTGTATTGAAGCTCTGCTCTGATTAACTAACTATCATCATCTTTCAACAAACCAGCCATATTCTGCCAAGGCAGAGTGGCCTAAAAATAAAAACAAAAGTTTCTCTTTTTAAATTTAGTAACTTATATAGGAGGAGGGGTTACTAGCTCCTTGCTCCCAGCATTTTAGTTGCCTGTAACGACACGCATGGCTTACAGATGAAAGAATTCTGTTTCACTTCCCCATGGAGATAAGATGAAATAAAGAAAAACAAGAAACAGGAAACAGGAGAAAACCCAGAGAGGTGTGTATGTATGTATGCATGCTTTTTTTTTTTTTCAACAAACAGGCCGTATCCCAACAAAGCAGGGTGGCCCAAAAAGAAAACAGTTTCTCTTTTTAACTCTAGTAATGTATACAGGAGAAGGGGTTACTAGCCCATTGCTCCCGGCATTTTAGTCGCCTCTTACGACACACGTCTTGCGGAGGAAGAATTCTGTTCCACTTCCCCATGGAGATAAAGAGGAAACAAACAAGGTCAAGAACTAGTAAGAAAAATAGAAGAAAACCCAGAGGGGTGTGTATATACAGTGGACCCCCAGTATTCGATATTAATCCGTTCCTGAGAGCTCATCGAATACCGAAAATATCGAAAAGTGAATCAATTTCAATTTCAAGACACCCAAAAGTATGAAAAAAAAAAAAATTTTGCTACATGAAATATTAAGTTTAATGCAATAGAATAATTACAATAACAATAAAATAATTGACACTTACCTTTAATGAAGATCTGGTGATGATTGATGGGATGAGAGGAGGGGAGAGGTGTTAGTGTTTAGAAGGGGAATCCCCTTCCATTAGGACTTGAGGTAGCAAGTCCTTTTCCAGGGTTACTTCCCTTCTTCTTTTAATGCCACTAGGACCAGCTTGAGAGTCACTGGATTTCTGTCGCACAACATATCTGTCCATAGTGGCCTGTACCTCCCGTTCCTTTATGACATTCCTAAAGTGTTTCACAACATTGTCAGTGTAATAGTCACCAGCACGGCTTGCAATAGCTGTGTTAGGGTGATTGTCATCAAAAAAGGTTTGCACTTTAAGCCACATTGCACACATTTCCTTAATCTTTGCAGTAGGCAACTTCTTCAATTTCTCTATCCCCTCCTCCGAAGCAGTTTCCTCAAGTGTGGCCTCTTGCTGTTGAAGATGATCTATGAGCTCATCAGTGGTTAGTTCTTCATTGTCTTCCTCCACCAACTCTTCCACATCCTCCCCACTAACCTCCAACCCCAAGGACTTCCCCAATGCCACAATGGATTTCTCAACTGGCATAGGATTCTCAGGGTTAGCCTCAAATACTTCAAAATCCCTTTTGTCTACACATTCTGGCCACAGTTTTTTCCAAGCAGAGTTCAAGGTTCTCTTAGTCACTCCCTCCCAAGCCATACCTATAAGGTTTATACAAGTGAGGATATTAAAGTGATCCTTCGAAAACTCTTTTAGAGTCAGTTGAGTTTCTGTGGTCACTATAAAGCACTTTTGAAACATAGCTGTTGTATACAGTTTCTTGAAGTTGGAAATGACCTGCTGGTCCATGGGCTGCAGAGAGGAGTGGTATTAGGAGGCAAAAACTTGACCTTAATGAAGCTCATGTCTCCAGAAAGTCGCTCTGCCAAGTCTGTAGGATGACCAGGGACACTGTCTAATACCAGGAGGCACTTAAGGTCTAATTTCTTTTCAATTAGGTAATTTTTCACAGTGGGGGCAAATGATGGTGTAACCAGTCATAGAAAAATTCCCTAGTGACCCATGCCTTACTTTTTGCCCTCCACATCACACACAAATTAGCCTTGAGGACATTGTTTTTCCTAAAACCTCTCTGGGAGTTTCAGAGTGATACACTAATAAAGGCTTCAACTTTGCAATCACCACTAGCATTGGCACAAAATTAACAAAGTAAGCCTGTTTTTCATAGGCTTATGTCCTGGGAAAGGTGCCTTTTCCTCCTGAGTAATGTAGGTCCTGCTTGGCATTTTTTTCCCAAAAAACAGGCCTGTTTTCATCGCAATTAAACACTTGTTCAGTTTCAAGTTTCACTGTCTATGCAATCCTTGAATTCCTTCACATATTTTTCAGCTGCTTTTTGGTCGAACTGGCAGCCTCATCATGCCTTACCACACTGTGTATGCAAATACAATTCTTAAATCTTTCAAACCCAAAAATTTTCTTGGCCTTAAATTCACTCACATCAGCACTAGTTGCAGGCAATTTCTTTACCAAATCGTCATGCAACTGCCTAGCCTTTTCACAAATGATCGCTTGAGAGATGCTATCTCCTGCTATTTTGTTTTTCATTTTTCCACACCAATAACCGTCTCTCAACATTTTCTAACACTTGCGGTCGCTGTTTTCGTAATCAAGTTGCACCTTTTGCAAGAAAAAGCTTCCTTGATTGCCATTTTCCTGGGCACTATAGTAGAGTTGGTTGATTGGGGTTTATTATACAACCTGACCAGCTCCAACAAAACGCACTCCACTTTCCCTACTTTGCAATTAGCTTTTTCTTCATTTCAATAGTCATTAGCCCATTTTTTCTCGAAGGGTTGGCACTAGAAGCTTTCTTGGGGCCCATGGTGACTTACTTTGCAGAAAGAAGCACCAAAAACAGTGATAATATGGATAATATGGAATGTACCGAATGTATCCTTAGATGCGCGCACACTGGCTGGCTTGTAAACACTGGCACACACGGGGCAGTTCAGGCCACACGTGGACACGTCTCGTACGAATCGTATCGAATACCGGGTTTTCGATCGGATACCGAGGCAAAATTTTTGCGATATAATGCATTGAATACCAGATTTATTGAATATCGGGGGTCCACTGTATACACTTGTACATGCATGTATAGTGTGACCTAAGTGTAAATAGAAGTAGCAAGACATACCTGAAATCTTGCATGTTTATTCTTCTTTCAACAAACCAGCTGTATCCCACCAAGGCAGGGTGGCCCAGAAAGAAAAACGAAAGTTTCTCTTTTTAACATTAGTAATGTATACAGGAGAAAGGGTTACTCGCAGCATTTTAGTCGCCTTTTATGACACGCATAGCTTACCGAGGAAGAATTCTGTTCCACTTCCCCATGGAGATAAAAGGAAATAAACAAGAAGAACTAGTAAGAAAATAGAAGAAAACCCTGAGGGGGTGTGTATAAATATGCTTGTACATGCATGTGTAGTGTGACCTAAGTGTAAGTAGAAGCAGCAAAATGTACCTGAAATCTTACTACCTATAATCAATTAACATGTACACACTGGAGGATCTACTTTAATTCTTAAGCTTAAATGTAACACCCTTACCTTTAGAGCCTTACAACATTCTGCCAAATAGCTCAGCTTAAGTTGAGTAGGTGCAGGCACAAGGGCCAAAGCCAAATGACATAAGTGTTTGAATACATTGACTTCTACAACTTCCAGTGTAGCACCACCTTCACTGTCGTTAGAGCACCGCAGAACCAATATAAATCTAAAGATTGAGAGAAATATCACGTAAATATCACATCTAAAATATGGTAAGTATGAACAACAGAATATCAGCAAAATAGAATGACATTTGTTTAATAAAACAATAAAACTAATAAGAAAATGTTTCAGCAATGTTTAATTCTAATGATAAGCAATCCAAAATTGGGTTGAACCACTGAATGATTTCTCTCTTTGTACAGTTACAAAGCCCATTGGCAAAAGTGGAAAAGTGAACATAGATAAGAGTAAGGTGATAAAGGTATCAAATGAGTTAGGTAATGAAAAATTGGATATCAGATTTGAGGGAGGGAGTATGAAGCAAGTGAATGTGTTCAGATGTTTGGGAGTGGATGTGTCAGCAGATGGGTATATGGAAGATGAGGTAAACAATAGAATAAAGAAGAAAAAAAAGGTGGGTGATGCATTGAGGTATCTGTGGAGACAAAGAACATTATCCATGGAAGCAAAGAGGGGAATGTATTAGTGTATAGTGGTACCAACACTCTTATGGGTGTGAAGCATGGGTTGTGAATGTTGCACTGAGGCGGAGGCTGGAGGCAGTGGATATGTCATGTATGAGGGCAATGTGTGGAACAAATATTATGGAGAGAATTCATAGTTTGGATATTAGGATGAGGTGTGGAGTTACTAAAAGTGTTATCCAGAGGGCTGAGGAGGGGTTGTTGTGGTGATTTGGTCATTTAAAGAGGACAGAGCAAAATAGGATGACTTGGTGTATAAATCTGTACTGGAGGGAAAGCGAGGTACAGGTTGTCCTAGGAAATGATGGGGGAGGGGGGTAAAGGATGTTCTGTGTTCAAGGGGCTTGGACATATAGCAGGCACCTGTGAGTGTGTTGAATAGGAATGAGTGGGGACAAATGGTTTTTGGGACTTGAGCTGTTGGAGTGTGAGTAATATTTTGTGAAGGGATTCAGGGAAACTGGTTTACTGGACTTTAGTTCTGGAGGTGGGAGGTACAGTGCCTGCCCTCTAAAGGAGGGGTTTGGGATATCTGCTGCTTAGAAGGACATCTAAACTCTCGCATCTACATGCCTTTTGCAAGACAATGAGTGCAAATGATGGTGGAAATGTTTCTTTTTTTCAGGTCACCCTGCCTCAGTGGGATACGGTCAGCATGTTAAAAAAAAAAAAATATACATGGGAGACGGCCAGTGTGTTGAAAAATATGTTGGAGTGTGAACAGGGTAATATTCTGTGGAGGGATTCGGGAAAACTGGTTAGTCAGAGGTGGGACGTACAATGCCTGCACTTTAAAGGAGGGGTTTGGGATACTGGCCGTTTGGAGTGACATCTGAACTGTTGTGACGGAGCACCTCTGCAAAGATAGTGATTATGTGTGAATGATGGTGAAAGTGTTTCTTTCTTTTTTAGGTCATCCTGCCTCAGTGAGAGATGACCGATGTGTTGATAAGATGAAAAGAAAAATATATACATAATAGTATAAATGAAACTAGACATTTTTAGTCCTTCCAGATAATTTTAAAGCTGCAATAGTAGTCTAGGATAGATCAAAACATAATAAAGTTACACCTTCACTTTACTGGTTAATTATGACTTTGTTCCAGGAACAGTACTGTGACTTCTATTCTACATCAATTATTATAACAACCAGATTAAAAAGGAAATATTGTAATGTATATAAGAAATGATTAATATTTGCTAATTCTGTGTATCATTATTTACCTGGGAGATTCTTTTCCATTTTCCTTGTGGCAAGCATTAACGAGTTCAACAAACTTGTGAGGAAATGAATTAAAGTCAACCAATAGACCTTGTGTGTGACGAAGGGTATGGTAGTCGTCCTCATGAACAACACATGTGTAGAGAACAAATGGATCATGGTCATCTGTAAGCCTCACCAGAAATTCCTGAAAAATGTACCATTATTTATCACAAATTTTTAATTATATTGTAAAAATTTGTTTAATTTAGTTTTTAAATTAATATCTATAAATAGTCCAGTTCTTGTTAGCATATGACTGCTAAACCAAAATGTTGTCACTTTGAAAGTGGACCCTTGACTAACGATATTAATTGGTACCCGAGAACGATTATCGTTAGTCGAGTTTTTTTAATGTTAGTCGAGGCAACATGTTAGCGTTAACGTATCGTTGGTCGAATTTAACGTTAGTCGATGCCATCGTTGGTCGAGGGTCCACTGTACTGTAGGTTATTATATACTCAGTGAGCTGAAGTTAAACATTTTCTAGTGCTTTATATACACATATACAAAGTAATTACTACATACAGTATGTGTATACTGAAGAAAAAACATGAGAATAGCTCTGATTCTATCAATATAAATGAAGCCTCTCCTCACTTAGCGACATACTCGTTTACAGATGACTCGGACATACGATGGTCTCCCTGACCAGTATGCATACCTAAATAATGTATATTAGAGCTGATTTCCTCTATTCTGTTTATTATAATATACAGTAAACTACTGTATAAACATTTAAAATTATACTAAAAATGTTATAAATGGTGCAAAGGTGAAATTAACACAATATCAGAGATGGATGACACAAACCCACTACCATTATAGTATGCTCCTCGCTTAGCGATGAATTCATTTATTGACGTGGCCTTAGGAACGGAACTCTGTCGTTAAGTGAGGAGAGGCTGTAGTTGGTACAGTGCACATATTCTTCATTGTGCAGTATATTCATTAACATGAAAATGTACCTTCGAGGAGGCAGAAGGCCTAACTTTCAGTTCCACCAGCATTTTTAAATTGCGTGTAGTGGCTGTAGCTATGGTGACACCAGCCTCCACCACTCGCACAAGCACATCACCATTTAATAGGACGTCACTGGTATTGCTTCTACACGCCTCCATTGTGCTCCATCTGACATAAGAGCAGCAATATTAAGAAAAAATGAAAATTGGAAAAAATATGTTGCCCTATCAGATTTATCAGAAATTCTGTGCTGTTTTATATGCTTTATGAAAATTTTATATGGCAAACTGTCATAAATATGCATAGGGCAGGTTCACTTCCTTGCTTGAAGGTCCCCTCATTGGCACCAAGGAACCTCCCTTCAGGGCTTGATGATGATGATATATATGATGATGATATATGATGATGATATATGATGATGATATGATATGATGATATGATATGATGATAATATATGATGATATGATATGATATGATGATGCCCTTTATTATGCAGAGCATTTCAGACAAATTAGGTCCTTGTCCCAGGATGTGACCCACATCAGTTGACTAACTCCTACGTACCCATTTTACTGATGGGTGAACATAAACAACCGGTGTAAAGAAACACGCCCAATGTTTCTACCCTCACTGGGAATTGAACACACACCCTCACTGTGCGAGCTGAATGCGCTTGCAGTCGAGCTACAGGATACCTAACAATATCATTTATTTCCATCGTAAAGCATCCAATTTTAGTTAATATAATCAACAATAACTGGCTAAATTAGTGGAAAAATGGAAGTATATTACAAACCAATAAAGTGGTGTCACAGGCACATCATAATAATGTTAGTAGCAACATTATAAGTGTTGTTGATGATAACAATAATAATAATAATAATAATAATTATATCTTTATTTCTACAAGTACATGTACAAGGTATACAGGCCTAGCCGATATCAATGACATACTACTATGTAGAAAGTCGCTTGTTATGCAGAACATTTCGGGCAAATTAGGTCAATTTTATCCCAGGATGTGACCCACACCAGTTGATAAGATCCAGGTACCTATTATTACTGATGGGTGAACACAGACAACTGATGTAAGGAAACACACCCAGTGTTTCTACCCTCACCAGGAATCGAACCCGGACAATCACCGTGCGAAGTGAGAGCTTAACCCACCAGGCCACGAGCCACCGTGGGGTTGTTAAGTGGCTACAGCAGGCACCTTGTTGAGCCCTGCTGCCAGGGATGGAAAAAAAAAAATAGGATGCCCAATAGATGGGCGAGGACTACAAAGATAACAAAGTTGCCTCTGGAAAGAGAAACAGAAACAAGTTCTCAATTTGGGTCAAGCAGACTAACAACCTCGTCTGACATTTTTGGGTTGTTCTAGGTAATTTACAAAAATGTTACTATATATGATAATTTGTGTAACTGTATTTATGTGTACCTGTACATAAATAAACTTACCAAGACCCCGTCAGAGCAAGACGCCCACAGGAGTTCTTGTGGGCATAGGAAGCTGCTAATGTACGGCGTCCTGATCAATTACCTAACAGTAGCTTATATATATATATATATATATATATATATATATATATTATATATATAATATATATATATATATTATATATATATATATATATAATATATACATACATTATATATATATATATATATATATATATATATATATATATATATATATATATATATATATATACACGAGAACAAATACCCCAGGGATAGAAAACATGGGGAAAAAACACTCAGCACTGATGCTCTAGGCGCCTGTGGAGGCGAGGGATGGAAGGTATTCAGGCTTGATCCGAGGAACTGGAGCACAGATCAAATTCCTTAGATCAAGAGCCCCTCACTAGCGCCAAGGAACCTTCTTTGGGTTATCCTATGTAATTTTCAATATGTACTTGTGTGTATTATTATTATAATCAAGGGGGAAGCGCTAAACCCGGAGGATTATACAGCGCCTGGGGTGAGGGATGTGGAAGACATTCAGGCTTAATTCGGGGAACTGGAGCACAGATCCAATTCCCTAAATCAAGAGCCCCTCACCAACATCAACGAACCTTCCTTGAGGGGTACTTCTGTGTAACTGTGCCTAAATAATATTACTTACTTACTATCAAGGCAGAGGCTGGTGTCACTCTGTTTGTGTTATTTTGAAAAGTTGGGATAGAGGTAGCTAGCACAAAAATATTTACTACCTTCAAAAGTAATGGAAATAATTCAAAATCATATATAAACTATATTGCAATATAGCTGTGACTTAATTCACGTATTCACAAATAATTCATTACTACTGTAATCAGATATCAAGGACCCCAGAGTAAATAATTAACTGACTTTTTTTTTTTTTTTTTTTTGGGGGGGGGGGGGTCATCCAAGACCTAGGTAATTTACGCATACGTTAAAATGTGTATGATAATTGTATAATAAACTTACTAAATAACTCTGCAGCCCAATCCTTTACTCATTATGTGTCACTAATTTTTTTACTACCTCCCACAGCATAATAAAGGCATTAAACTAGTAATTTTTCAAATTTATTTTATTTTAAAAAATTTAAAGCTTTATTTTTTCTCTTAGTTTTCAAGAAATTATTAAATTTAAATGATTGCTAAATTATGATCACCACATCAGTGAATGGATTATAAATTGAAGTATACAAGGTCATGGTCGTTTCTGTTCACCATACATATATTACGCAGTAAAAAGTCAGTAAATGACGACAATTAAAAGGAAAAGACACGATTGTATTCATTTCGGATATTTTTACTGAAGAAGTTACGATCCTGGGAACTACATAATTTAAAATCTTCTCTATAGATTTTTACGGTCTGGAAAAGGTATACGTTTTTATTTAGATTTTGTGTACATAACATACACATTTGTTTTTGCGAATGTTTTGAGGGTAAATAAGTGTTAAGGACATAAAAAGAGCACTATGTAGACTGAGTCTACGTTAACCCAGTAAACTCAAACAATGTTACTTACTGCTATTGTGAGTTCATTACCTCTGTAACTTGCTCAGCTATCAAAACTTTGGAGTCCAGTCCCTGGACCAATTATGTACCTCTGTAATCTTTTGACTGCCGCCTACAGGATGGGTATGGGGTGCATAATAAACATATTAAACTAACTAACTAACTGCTATTGATTCTGTCAGGATTTAGGAGTGGGGTCAACCTGACCTAATTGGGAACTTTTTTATTTTTTTTTTTTGGTTTCTATTACTATTCTCAAAGGTAACTTCCCTCAATTGTTATATTTCTTTCTACAAACATTTATCATGCTGAAATAAACGTCTTATTCTTATTAATCTCATACTTACATAGCAGTAAGTAAACAAGTAAAGTAAACAAGTAACTAATCTAAAAGTTAAGATTTTGCTCGAATTTTTAACAAGGAGAGTGAGCCAACCAGGATTTTGACGATTACAATTATCTTGCATAATAATATGTGTAAATTTCCTACGATAACCCCCAAAAAGTCAGTGACTTATTTCCACTGGAGTCCTTGATGCTTTGTAAATGAATATAAGTAAGTTTATTCAGGTACAGCTATACATAGGTACAATTATCACACTTACCACAATTACCCAGGATAATTCCAAAAAGTGTCTTATTTCCATTGGAGTCCTCGTAATCCATTAAACAGAGCTATTTGACCACTTAGTATTAATTGGTTCATCATTTAACTTAAGTTTGCCTGAAATGCTGTCATACGAAAGGACTTTTCAGCCTTTATACTTTTTTTCTGTATAATATTTAAAATAAAATTGATCTGGCTCAGAGGGAAGCTGGGCTTAGTACGGCGTAGACTGCGGCGACCCTATAAACTTCAATAACAACAAGGAAAACCAGAAATAATCATTGCATTCCTGCCGTCAGTGGCCCTATAACCCAAACAACAAACATACTTAATATCAATGAAGAAAAAAAATAATCAGCTGATGAAAATCCCCCATCATGCTCAGCTTAACATCAGAAGACACGCTACCTGTTACTGAAGTAGAAATATTCATTATTAATTTGCAATAATGGGTTCGGTAGTCAGAGTTTACTCAATTTTACTTCGTAAATACCCATTAGTAGTCCAGTCTCTGCAAACTGGTATGTTAATTTTGGTATAGTGTTTTTTAATCACATGTTACTGGTGTTGTCTTGTAGGAGAATTACTGGTTTAGCGCTTTTCATGAATATAATATTTGCCATGTGTCCGTGGTATTGCGTAATGAATGAGAAAGATTTGCCAGTACAATATTTTTATTTAATGTTTATTAAATAATGATATTAGCCAAAATATACATTACTAATAGCAGTCGTGTATTAAGTTTTTCTTCTTTTTTTTTTGCTTACTAAAAATGTAATATTTTAGTCTGTTAAAATTATATATTCTTTGTAGTAACAATAGCCGTATATCTGTGAAAACAATTACTGTAGTATTATTTATCTTTAGATATTATTGTCTTTCTTGTTTAGGAGTTAAAGCCTTTTAGTACTTTGCAATGACCCCTGTGGGTTTAGTGTTTAGTTTTGATTGTAATATTAACAATATTACTTAACTTTCCCTTCGTGGAAGTATATGTGGGTGAATGAGTCTTGGTCAAGGGAACTGGAGGTACCATTTACCATCACTCACTCAATAGCTGTTTTGTCTTGCCAGAAGTTCACAGATATCACAATTCAAATGACCCTTTTAACCTCAGAATCCCCACCCCTCCTTCAGAGTGTAGGCACTACACTTCCTACCTCCAGGAATAAGTTTAGCTAACTGGTTTTCCTGAAGTCCTTCATAAATGTTACCTTCCTCACACTTCAACAGCATGTCAAGCCATATAAAGAAAAAAAGTCATCTCTGTTGAATCCAGTCTAACTTGCTGACAGTTACATTTAATTATATGTTGACAAGTCACTGAATCTAGGATGCTGCCTATAAAAGCTATCTCTTGATAAAAACTGTTAAATGAACAGTGGTAGTAGGTGTGAGGAAACTTGGCAATATGTCTTGCCCCTTCCAAGATTGAGTCCAAGTTGATTTGGGTGTTGACTGAATGCCACACCACTTAGGTAGCTATGAGATACAAGGTACCATTTATCATGAAATTACATTTTAACATAGCTTTATTTATTTCTAAAATAATTTTACGTTGGATTCAGTAATTGTTTCATGTCAGACTGGGTTACTTATTACAGTACTGTATTATTATTATTATGATACAGCCTCTCCTCACGTAACGATGGACTTCTGTTTCTAAGAGTGGGTCGGTAAATGAACTGGTCATTAAGCAAGGAGCATACTGTACTGGTACTAGTGGGTTTGTGTCAACCATCTTTAGATATTTTCTTTAATGTCATCTTTGCACCATATATAACATTTCTGGTATCTTTTTAAATGTTTATACAGTAGTTTACTGTATACTGTAGTGTAATAAACAGAATTGAGGAAATCAGCTCTAATATACATTATTCAGGTTTGCATATCAGTTGGAGAACAGGTCGTAAGTCCGAGTGGTCGGTAAATGAGTACGTTGCTAAGTGAGGAGAAGCTGTAGTTATTATTACAATATTAGAATTTTGTGTGATATTCATAAGAAGGCACTGGACAGGCACCAAAAGTCAGAAAGTAGGCAAGAGCAGTAGATATGAAGATGATGTAATCAGTCCATCACCCTTAAAGTCGTAGATTTGAGGTTGTCAGGTATCTAAAGACAGGCACCACAGCTGGGCTGTGGTTTGTACATCGATATGCATGTGGTCAACAGTAACAGCCAGGTTGATCAGGCTTTGATCCACCATGAGGCCTGGTCACAGACTGGGCCATGGGGGTGTTGATTCCCGAAACCCTCTCTAGGTATATTCTCTCCAGCTATTACCTTTAAGTTTTGTTACAGTATAAATTTGCCTTAGCTTATGAATTTTAAATAAAAATAAAGATTTAAATTAAAATGTTCTAGTGTTATGTGCATCTATGTAAATATTATATTTCGATTTGTTTTCTTAGCCTAAGTCCTTCTAATGGAAAGAAAATGGTCTTGCCTGAGATGTTATTCATATAAGGGGCCTCTCTTTTCAAATGTCATTATCATGCAAAGTCTCCTGTATAAAACCGATATAATAAATACTGTATATAGAATTTGTGAGAGCCAGTTTTTTTTTTTTACTACATGACCATTTCACATTGTGGTATGGTGATTCAAAGATAACACTTTTAACAACACTCATTCAATATCTATCTTTCCAGAAGTGAGTAAACATCAGTATTCATGTGATGCTCTGAACTGCAACATTCTTCTTATCCTTCAGCCTTTGAGAATAGTATGTTATTGTTAAATAGGTTAATACATTTTGAGCATGTATACAAAGAATTTCTTGTATGGATTTTTTAGGTGCATTGACAGGAGCTGGAGATGTATTGTCACAAGTAGTTATAGAAAGGAAGTCAGCAAATCAGTATGAATGGCAGCGTACTGCTCGTTTTTTTTCGATCGGTACATTTTTTATAGTAAGTAAAATTTTATGCATTTAGTTACTGTACATTACTTGAAATTTATCGTATGTCAGATTTGGATTACAGTAGTGTTCTTAATTTGTATAGTTTTAATATGAAGCTTTCCAATACATGTATATGCATTTATCTATAAAGTAATCAGGGCTTCAGCTTCATATTCAGCAGAGAAAAAAAATTAAGTTCATGAATGCAAATCATAAAAGCTTACCATATGTGAAATAAGTGCATACATTGAGCTTTGAAATTAATATTCTCTTTTTTCGTGAATTAGTGTTACTCTACATAGCAAATTTAAGTAGAATTCATGACAAACAATGCTGATTAGATTATACAGCATTGCATTCCCCAGAATTTTGTGATAGCAGATCTGTTTTTTGCACACTATTGTAATAATGGTGGTGGTGGTATAGGATTGTTGACAAGGTGTATGTAGTTGATAAAGACAATTTAATTAATGGATAATGGATAAAATGCACAAATATAACAAATATTTTATAATGCTTTATCTTCTCAGGGTCCTGTGCTATCAAAATGGTATAAATTGTTAGATATAAAAATTGGGCCTGGCAAAGGGGTGAGAGCTCTGAAGAAGGTTGCAGCCGATCAAGCATTCTTTGCACCTTTGTTTTTGGGTGTCTTCTTGATTGTGCTTGGAGGCATGAAGGGAAACTCGCCTCAAGAAATTCAGAAGGATGTCAAGAAGAACTACAAAGACATTTTGCTGACCTGTTGGAGTGTAAGAATATTTCGTCTTTTTCTGAACAGTTGATACACTATATTACCTTTTCATTATACATTATATATGATGTTTTTCGTGATTGAATGAACTGCCTACTTTGTAATGGGTTCATGTTAAAAGCAAATTAAGTATTATCTGCTTATCATAATTTTATCACTTTTAACCTATTTAGGTGTTTTTATAAGCTGCAAGTATCCTTGAATGACCCATACTAATTTAGCAATTTTTTGCGAATAACAATAATACATTGATTTGTAAGGTAAATCATTCATTATTCTGATTTTCAGACATTGTGAGGCCATTTTGTGTATGTAACTGAGTCAGAGTTCAGGCTCTAAACAATCTTATTAGTAATGTAGCATTAATTAGCACTGTTAGTTCTGTATTGTATATTATATATGTATATGTACTGGAGCATCCTCTAGGTAGTAGGTTGGTAGACAGCAACCGCCCAGGGAGGTACTGGCGTCCTGTGAAGTGAGTGTGAAACGGAAGCCTGTAAATTTTTACATGATGGTAGGATTGCTGGTGTCTATTTTTCTGTCTCATACACATGCAAGATTTCTGGTATGTCTTGCTGCTTCTACTTACACTTAGGTCACACTACACATACATGTACAAGTATATATATACACACCCCTCTGGGTTTTCTTCTATTTTCTTTCTAGTTCTTGTTCTTGTTTATTTCCTCTTATCTCAATGGGGAAATGGAACAGAATTCTTCCTCCATAAGCCATGTGTGTTGTAAGAAGTGACAAAAATGCCGGGAGCAAGGCGCTAGTAACCCCTTCTCCTGTATATATTACTAAATTTAAAAGGAGGAACTTTTGTTTTTCCTTTTTGGCCACCCTGCCTTGGTGGGATATGGCCAGTTTGTTGAAAGAAAATATTTTTTCACTTGTCAAGAATTTCAGTGCTGTACACTTAGCGTTGTGTTGATATACATTAATTATCCATGCTATTTTTTCTGCCTCTGTCATTGATACTCTGACATTGTATATATTTTTATTATAGGTTTGGCCAGCTGTTCAAATCTGCAACTTCTCTTTTGTTCCTCTGCATCACCAGGTGCTTGTGGCTCAAACATTTGCATTATTTTGGAACACTTACCTGGCCTGGAAGACAAACAAAGACAGTGCACTTCAGAAGCCCATTAGTACCACTCAAAGTCAATAAGTAGATCAGACTTTTAAGAGGAAAAGTTATTTAAGCTTTTAAGAAATGGATCTCATGAGATATTTTCAGTATATTGCAAGCAGATTATCATCATTTAAGAATGTGATTTTAGTAAACTTACCTGTTAAAAACAGGTTAAATGTTAAGAAACAAGCGAGATATTTTAGATTAGTACAACACTTTCTATGCAAAGAAAATGCTTTACAAAAATTTCATGTCACTATTTCTGTGTACAATATAATTTTTAGAATTAATGTAGCATAATTTGGGTTTCAAAATTTTGTTTGATTCATTATAATGTTTTTCATGAATTATAAAATACTCCATTCAGAGTTGAAGTTTGATGAACAGTACAGTATGAGTAAAGAGTTCTGTTTTTTTTTTTATTATTTTCATTTAATAAACATCCATATTTAGACCCAAGATTCTGTTATTGTTTGAAATTATTTGTATTATGTTTGTCTTTGAAAAGTAAAGTGTCTGGAGACTATCATTACTGTTTGCAGTTGTGGACTGGAGTTTTATAAAAATATGCAGGAATGTGAAAATAGAAGATGTGTATTATAAAAAACAATAATTTATTGAATGATGGGCAAACTGCCAATTAACAGAATAAAATGAAAGGATTGTAGCAGTACTCATCTTTACGGACAAAGTTTCACACATGAGCAACTCATCATCCTGTAGAGATTCACTTTACTGCCTCCATTTTACCCCAAAATGCTGTAGTTTGTGTGGATGGAGAAGGAGCCTCTGTTAACCTTTAAATTGGGCATGATATACTGTATATGTAGTGTATGTACAGTACTGCTAGGTGAGAAACTGGGAACAGCATATAAGTACAGTTCATACAAATCATAGGTTCAAATGAAGTGCCATGTAATGTAATTTTGCTAGGTAAACAACTTAGCTTTTATGTGGCAAATTTACATCCTGCCAAAAATGTCTTTGGTACCACAAAAGAGGGAATGTTCAATAACACACTACTCTGGCAGTCGTGGTATCATTGGGATATTATTCAAAAATTTTGATGGCAGCAGTGATGATAATATACAGCTAGCCCTCCATTTTCGCGAGCTTCAAATATTCGTGAATGCCCAATGTTTTGTTTGTTCATCATTTGTTATTAAACCATAACATGTATGTACATTATTTTATGATGTTTTCTTGTGTTTTATGATTGTTCGTGGTTCAACAGGTTAAGGAAGCAGTATTGTTAGGCAAAGTAAATGCTATTATTATATTTCCCTACAATATATTTGCGCATCAAAACATTCGCAAATGCTACAGCACAGTATTATCATATGTATTTCCCTACATCATATTTGTGCACCAAACATTCACGAATTTTCAAGATTCCCAAGATTCTTGATCCCCTAACCCTCGCAGATGTGGAGGGCCTTCTGTATACTATATACTTTGTGAAAATAACAAATAAAATCTACAGTAAGTGTGTTTAAATTGATTTAAACAAATTGGATTTATGTTAACTCATACACAAATAAAAGTATGTTTCAAATGTTAATATGCAATGTGTTTCATTTACAGAATTTTTTTTAATACCAATTTAAATGATTTTCCTTAACATAATCTTCATTTTTTCATCAAATCTATATTTTCCTTGACCCTTTCATGATGGTTGGTTAATGCTGTTGAAGGACTTCTCATTCAAGGAATTGTATTTACTTATCCCTTGTATAAAAACTAATTAATCCAGGCACTGCATGACCTCTTATGATTTTTAGTGCTTTTCCTTAGAATGTGATGTTATAAAGAATAAAAAGTAGAGTATTGTGGCTGGAACAATTCACAGTACAGGTGGTGGTATTCATGATGATTCATTAGGCTGGAATAAATGGGATTTAGACACAGTGGATGCTTTAATTAACCACAACATTTTGTATAGTATGGTAAAAATCTTTCAACACACCGGCCGTATCCCACTGAGGCGGGGTGGCCCAAAAGGAAAAACGAAAGTTTCTCCTTTCAAATTTAGTAATATATACAGGAGAAGGGGTTACTAGCCCCTTGCTGCCGGCATTTTAGTTGCCTCTTACAACACGCATGGCTTACGGAGGAAGAATTCTGTTCCACTTCCCCATGGAGATAAGAGGAAATAAGCAAGAACAAGAACTAGAAAGAAAATAGAAGAAAACCCAGAGGGGTATGTATATATACGCTTTTACATGTATGTGTAGTGTGACCTAAGTGTAAGTAGAAGTAGCAAGACGTACCTGAAATCTTGCATGTTCGTGAGACAGAAAAAAGGACACCAGCAATCCTACCATCATGTAAAACAATTACAGGCTTTCGTTTTACACTCACTTGGCAGGACGGTAGTACCTCCCTGGGCGGTTGCTGTCTACCAACCTACTACCTAGGTATGGTAAAAATATTATGGTTAATAACCTTGGTCAAGTGTTGTATGGCCCTTGTGGGTTTAACACTTCCCAATGAACAGAATAATAACTTTGCTTCATGCACAAAGTAAATAGTAAACATAGTAAATTCAATTATTATTATATTCAATTATTATTATTCAACTATTATTATATTCAATTATTATTATATTCATGGGGAAACACTAAACCTATAGGGGTCAGACAGACCTAGAGAATGGTAGTTAATGTAGTAAACTCAAATATTAGAAAAATGAGCACCTAATATGATAAAAGTTGAATTTGGTGTACAGTACTTTCCTATTGGTGGTTGCAGGGGTTAAGGCTGCTGAGGCCATCAGTGAAGGTAACATTCATAGTAAAATGACATGTGTGACAAGTGTTACCGAAGATATAGGTTGGCATATGCATACCTGGAGTATACCTGGAGAAGGTTTCAGGGTTCAACACCTCTGCAGCCCAGTCTGTGACCAGGCCTCATGGTGGATCAGGGCGTGATGAACCAGGCTGTTACTGTTGGCTGCACACAACCCGTTGTACGAACCACAGCCCAGCTGGTCAGGTACTGACTTTAGGTGTCTGTCCAGCTCCTTCTTGAAGGCAGCCAGGGGTATATTGGTAATCCCCCTTATGTATGTTGGGAGGCAGTCAAACAGTCCTGGGTCCCTTACACTTATTGTGTTGTCTCTTATTGTGCTAGTGGCACCCCTGCCTTTTATTGGGGGGGGGGGATGTTGCATCATCTGCCAAGTTTTTTGCTTTCATTGGGAGTGAATTTTGTGCTCTAGTTTGGTACTGATCCCTCTAGGGGTTTCCAAGTGTGTATAATCATGTATCTCTCCTGTCTGTATTCAAGGGAGTACAAGTTGAGGAACTTCAAGCATTCCCAGTAATTGAGGTGCTTTATCGCAGTTATGTGTGCTGTGAAGGCTCTCTCTACATTTTCTAGGTCAGCAATTTCACTTGCCTTGAAAGGTGCTGTTAGTGTGCAGCAATATTCCAGCCTAGATAGAACTGTCTGGCGTAGATCTACGTCACTAATGCCAGCATCCCTCATGTAAATCTAAGTTTTAAGCACAGCACTCTCAAATATGCTGTGAGAGATGAATTTTGGCCAAAACATGAGAGAATGGTTCCACAGTATAAATAAGAATCCATATAGTGCACAATGGGAAAAGCAAATCTCTGACCCAGTGGTTGGTTGAAAATAACGAGTTTTAGGTATTTTCTAGGATGATTTTATGGTTTTATTGGGTGTTGATAATTTGGAAGACATGCAACTGAAGTAGAGATGATTTTGGTCAGTTTTAGGACCAGAAGTAGCTTAAAATAGGGCTGAAAGTAAAAGAAATATTTGATTGTGACAGTTTTCCTGAGGCAGGGTAAGACCTCCCTAACCTTCTCCAGTCTATTTTATGGGTTTGTAATATGATCCTCTTTTGTCTTCTCAAAGGAGGCTTCTTCATGCCTGTAAGGATCTCTTGATATAAGGAACTGGACCTTATGTCCCTTTCCTAGAATCGAACCAGAATATCTCTCATTTTCCAGGTGCTGTGTGAACTTGTACAGATTTAGTGCTTCCCCTGGAATGTACAGTGATACAAATAATATTGTGCCTCTCACAAGACATTTTAAGGTGAGAGATCAGATTTAAGTCGGTAAGATCACAGACACCTGACAACTTACATCCTGTGAATGTGATAGTATTAATTCCTACATACTCTTGCTTTTCTAGTCAGTCCAGTATAGCCACTACCCCTCATATCTCCCACATGTCTCCTCTCCTATATGCATGAAAAAATCCTCAGGGTGGTCCATTACTGTAGTGTCTAATTTTATCTGAGCCATAGGTGCAATTTTTTTGTTATCATGTTGAGTATAGATAAAGTAATCGTAGACTCTATTAGACTTGCTGGGTCACCACATGTAGAAGACTTGAGCCAGGCCTTGTCCTGGCAAACCTACCTGTACCTGTCTACTAGACTTTAGATTAGATTCTTCCAGAATGCAGATTATTGATTCTCAGACTATAGACTGTACACTCTCCTTGATTGTAGACTTTTTATAAGACTAATAGGATGTAGACTGGTGATTTCATACTGTATATTCGACTCCCCAGACTGTAAACTGACTCACACTGTAGACTTTTTCAGACTATAGACTAGACTTCTTTAGACTGTAGACTCAATAATTTGTTGTATGTGTTTGCTATTGATTACTTGCTAATGTTCATTTGATGGCATTGTGTTTGCCAGTGATTGTTTGCTAATTTGTGATTGTTTGCAGAACTGCATTTGTCCATGACTAGTCACTGACTTGTACTCACCTATTTGTGGTTGCAGGGGTCGAGACTCGGCTCCTGGCCCCGCCTCTTTACTGACTGCTACTGGGTCCTCTCTCTCCCTGTTCCATGAGCTTTATCATACCTCGTCTTAAAACTATGTATGGTTCCTGCCTCCACTACATCACTTGCCAGACTATTCCACTTCCTGACAACTCTATGGCTGAAGAAATATACTTTCTAACATTGCTTTGATTCATCTGAGTCTTCAACTTCCAATTGTGACCCCTTGTTTCTGTGTCCCATTTCTGGAACATCCTGTCTCTGTCCACCTTATCTATTCCTCGCAGTATTTTGTATGCCATTATCATGTCTTCCATAACTCTCCTGTCCTCCATTGCCATCAAATCGATTTCTCTTAACCTTGTTTTGTAGGACAGTCCCCTTAGCTCTGGAACTAGCCTTGTTGCAAACCTTTGCACTTTCTCTAATTTGGTGACGAGCTTGACTAGGTGTGGGTTTGAAACTGGTGCTGCATACTCCAGTATGGGCCTTATGTCTGCTGGTGATTGTTTGTTGGTTGTGTGATTCATTTTGATATCACTTACTGGAAGGAGTGTTCGTGCAAATTTTCCTGTTCTAAATTCTTTCCTTTTCAACAGGTTAGGCATTGCAGGGACTGCAAACAGTGCTCATGAAAATAAATTTTCTGATTATAAAAATAAATACGCTTCTCTCCAATGAAAGGGTAATTAACTTACTTTGGAAATACCCCATGATAACACAGATTTGAAGTTTGTGAGTTAATTAAACATAATATAGGGATTTTTTTTTTTGATGAAGCATTATCAGATAAGGAATTTAATTTGCTTTACAGTCATCACAGACTGGTTGAAAAGCCAGCAACATTTTTTTTTTTGGGCATTATGGATATATTAATTAATGCAAAATTCTCACTCACCTGTGTGTACTAGCCTAGTTGTGTTTGACAGGGGGTTGACCCATGGGTCCTGGCCCTGCTACTGTGTGATCAATAAAGGTTTTGTGCTCGTTTTGTTTTTGAATATATTTCCCGGCCCTGCTTTTATTTTACCTTGACCCCAAAGGGATCTTTTTCAATTTTTAAATTTGGTGTCTGTGGGGGTTTTTGCTTTTACTTAATGAATATTATTCTACCCAAATTTAACAATAATGATAAAATTGACATACTGAAAATAATAATAATAATAATAATAATAAAAAAAAATAATAATAATAAATATTACAGGTAGTGCAGGGGCATGCAGCTCAAAACACAGGTGGGCCCCGGGGAGCAGTGATTAAACCCCCTGGAACCAAAAAAACGGGTTAAAGCACACCCACAAACACACACACAGAAAATGACATAAAAAAAACTGAGAGGAATTGCCCAAAGTGGACAGAACAGAATTTTCCAAGATGGGACACAGCAAAAAGGGGGAACATTTTGGAATTTGGAAGATCAGAGGGAATCAGGATGTTGGAAGTACTTCTTCATTTTAACAGAGCAGTCGGGAAAGGGGAAATTATTTTGGGGAAAGGGGAAAAAGGGCCGGGAATCCAATACTTTAGTTTTAAAGCAGAGGCATGAAAAAGGGCTCAGGGTTCAGGGAAAGGGACCCAGTAGTGACCAGTGAAGAGGGGGTGGCCAGGAGCAAATGATCGCCCCCCGAAACCCCCAAAAAACTGGGTGAGTACACACACACACAAATAAAAAAAAAAAGGGCCCAGAAGGGGCCACACAAAAAGGGGTCACAATTGGAATTTGGGAAGATGCAGATGAATCACAGGGATGTTGGGAAGTATTTTTTCATTTCAAGTTGTCAG